GTGTGTGTTAATTTGAGCAGTTATGCTCATATGTGCTGCGTCGGTAGTGCTGAGAAGAGCCCCTCCTGAGCTTGAACTAGCCCCTTGCCGCATCATGGCAACACTGGTAGGCCCAGAGACACCTGTCATGCTAGCACTGTTCGATGCGCCATTACTTGGAGGCCTCCGATTTGAATCTACACTAGACATGCAAGACTAGCACGAAGCATGTTGATTTCGGATGATCCCCGTTTTTCCAAGTGGGCAAGTCTTCACCACGATACCACGGCGCCAAATTACATAGTTAGCAAACAAATCACTCGTCCAGAAGCCCAACCAAAGAGGGGAGGGGAGGGGGGCGGCGGGAACCAATAGCTTTCTCTTCACGAGTTCAGACGAAGGTTGACGGGAACCAATAGCTTCGGTCCCGTGAACTTGGGCGTGGGCCGAGGATGGGGTCGATTCCCGACGGCAGGACAAGACTCGAAGCCGATCGCCGTTTGGATCCCAACCCAACAGGGCGGATCAAGCCTCCCAAGTGCCGCTCGCTCGGATCCCTCTCCGGTCTGAACCTGTTTGATAGGCCCTAACTACACAGTACATAAGAGATATTGCGGGCGGGCGTGCCACCCGGCTTAGACCCATGCAGGGCGACACAGCCATTCTGCGAGTGCCGCGCGCCGTGGTTGGCTACCCGTGTGATGGATTCCAGCGCCATCCCTTCACTTGGCTTCACCGGGGTCAACTTCGGGCAGGGTGGGTGAGACTGGGCACCCAGGGGGTGGGTAGTCTTGACTGTTAACTAGCTCCTGCTGCGCCGTTGCCGTTTTCCTGCGCGTGATGGATCCCTCGTACACGAACTAACGATTCGGCGGGATCTGAGTTTTGGATGGGGATGACATAACTAGTGCAGCTCAGAATGCCAGAACATACCAACTAGGTAGCTTTTTTTAACCTCTAGTCTCTGTCTTGGTTACATTATTAGAACCCCCAAGACATGCACGGATACCCACATGGGGCTGATAGTGGGACAAGTGTACTCGTCATGTTGATCCGATGGTGGACGTGATGGTTCGTTTCCAACTGATACTAGCGCGGCGGCGATCCAGTCCTCGATTCCGGCCCAGCGATGCGGCAAGGCGCGGCGAAGGGCCGGAGTCGAGCCCGGGAATGCACGGCGACGGAAGCTGCCGCGGGAATATCGATGACCCCTGCGTGATCCCCTCGAGCCCCTGACCCTGCGATTTCGGTGAGATTACCGCGGGAGTTGCTTCGTCGACGCCTCTGGAAGTCTGACGTGTCGGGCGATTGGCAAAGGGCCGGGGGGGGGGGGTTGTCGGGGTTAAAACCGGGAAAAACGGGGGCCTCCCTGGTTACCATTGTTGGTGCCCGTGATTGTTTGCTTAAGCATTGTTCTTTAGACTCGGTCTGGCAACCGAAATGTCATTGAGACATGCATGCGAGTTGGCTAGCGTAGCCTCCCGTCACTCGGTCACCCCAGGGCCCTACCCAACCCCAAGTTACCCAACCACTCGGAAGCGAAATGCACTGGCCTGCCTCGGCCGGCTTCCCGAGGAGGACCTGCCTCTGTGATAATTCAGTTGGCCACAACAACCAACTTTGTGAATGGGTTACATCGTGTCGTGCAGGGCGTTGATATGCAGCTCCCTCAACCGTTCAAGGAGATGGGCGTTCAGGGGCTAGTTCAACCTAATCTGTGCACTAAGTCGTTTCTGTCCTCCACCGAGCTCCGCGGTGGGGGCCAAGACAGGGCGAACGGGAGAAGGGCAGGGGGAAAGTTAGCCGAACAGAGAAGATGGCCATGATACTCAAAGGCAAGAGCAGGTGATGTGTCATGTGCTGGATCCCGAGGTCTTGAACAGGCAAACGCAATCTCGAAAGCAACCCAATGTTGGAAAAGGATCCAAAAGGGGACATGCGCGATGCAAGCAGGCGGGGGTTACCGAGTTGCAGTGTCAGAGTTGTATCACAGTGTCACAATAGGGTCGGTCATCCAAGTGGTGGTCAAGTGGTGGGCGAGTGGAGGGCAACTGCAACTGCCATCTGCATGAAGGAAAGGGAAGCACAACGTCAGGCACGATGTACGATGTAACTACCGACTCTCATCTGGCAGGTGGCAGGTGCGACCGCTCCCGTTTGCGGGGTTCCGCTCGGAGTTGACTCCAGTTTCCCGTCGTTCGGCAAGCACTGCCAGACCCTGCAACTCGGCCCGAAGACCAAGACCAACCCAGGCCCATGGTATCGTGAGTGACGGCACAGGCACTGTTGGTCCGCTTCGGGAGAGCTGCATCGCTGACAGTGTTCTACAGCCAATTAGATGTCTTGGAGTTGCACCCCGAGAACACTGCACAGCCAATCGCAACCGCTCTCGCCCAAACCAGGCAAAGTCTGGTGAACCAGCATTCTTGTCCCCAGACTCTCGGGACCAGAGTTCTGCATTCTTACGCAGGCCCCCACAAACGCTCCCCTTCCCGCATTCCAGTCCTTGAGCTAACTTTAGTTAGTTTGTTTCTCGTCGTCTGTGAGCAGCCAAGCTGGCCCGGAAATCCAAGACCTTCCCAAAGAGCCAAGACATTGTGGTCGTGGTACCGCTGTCGCCCCAACACATTCATTCCTTGGACCCCTGGTTGTTGAAAGTTTCCTCTTTACTGTGCGTACTGTGTGTATTGCCGCCGGCAATGCATGCAAATCAGTCAAGCTCGAGGCAATTGGGTCGCACTTCCGAAGCGACCCGCCCGTGCATCATTTCCCACGTTTGGCCTGCCCCGAGCTCAGCTGCGTCCGGGTCTTGTTCGGTCTTTGAGAAGGCCTGATTGGACAGGGGAACCCGACGATGCACCAGGCAAGTTGCAGCAAAAGCAGGTGCAGACCAGCAGAAGAACGACGGGCTTGGCATCCCTGGCTGGGCCAGGACCCAACGCCTCCTGATCTCGCTCGCTCGTGTCTTTTTTTTAATAAAAGTCCATTATCATGCCCGCATTGTCTCGGACCAAGCCCCCGGAGCAACCCCTCCATTCCTTGTTCTCTACCAGGTGTATTTGCCCTGCGTTTTCGCCCTGCATCAACGAAACACATAAAGATCTCGGCATCTCTCGCATGGCAGATTGTTTACCCCACCATCCCTAGGCCGTCTTTTGACTCTTGTGCTTTTGAGTCCTCGGTGTTCTAATTCTCTCTCTGTTCGGTACCTTGACTCTTAAAAGGTCGCGCATCTCCACTTCAACCTTGCGCAACGCTTTCCCCTCATTGCGTCCACATTCGACTCATCATTGGGAAGGGAAATTGATTCCTACACAAGAACCACACACATCCCAAAATCATGCATCCTCCAGCAGCAAGACAGACTCCCCAGAAGGGCCAAGAGAATTCGCCAATGGATCTCGCACTCCACAACTCCGACGTCCTCGCATCAACGCAAACACCACAAACACACCAAAACCACGACCCACAATCCGACACGGAATTGGAGCCATCATTATGTGAAGAACCACAAGACGACGAACTGCCCGACCCCCTACCGTTGATGCACTTCCCCCACTGCCGCCTCGAGATCAGCACCTTCCCCACTCCCAACGGGCCCGGCAAGCTCGAGCAGATCGCCCTCCCCGGCTCTCTGGTGCGCACCCTCCTCTCGCGCTTCGAGACCGACCTCCAACAACACCAAGAAGAAGAATACCAATACCAACAACAACGACAACAATACCGCCGCACACCCTCACCATCACCAGCAACATCAAAACCCCACTCCCCACCGTCACCACAAACCACAACAACAACAACAACAGCCACCCCCACAGCGCCCCGCCCCATCCGCATCCAGCCGCACTTTGACGACGCCGCCGACTGGGTCTTCTCGCGCTGCCTGCTCGCCGACTTCACTGGCTTCCGCGAGGACGAGGCCGAGGCCCTGTCCACGGCCGCCGGCGCCGGCCGCTTGTGCTGCTGGGCGAGCGTGGTGCTGTCGCCGCCAAGGCGGAGGCGGAGTGCGGGGGTCGGTGGTGGTGGTGGTGGTAGTATGGGGTTCGGGGGGATGTTTGGGGAGGATGAGGAGGGGGATGAGGATGAGTTGGTGGAGGAGGAGGAGGGTTTGCGGGGGCTACAGGGCGGGGAGAGTGGTGCGGAGGGTGAGGACGAGGGCAGGTGGGAGCTTGAATTCGTGGTGCAGCGCGTGGGCGTCCGCGACCCCGGCAGCGGGTGGTGTGAGTGTTTTTGACATTGGAGGGTTTGGGGGTTCCCACGGTTAAGGGTTTGCTGGTCTGCATGGTCGAGTGTTTGTTTTGGGGTGCTCTTTTTTTCTCTTGCTCTCTCTGTCTCTTTCCTTTTACCCTGGTTTTATTGCTGTACCTTTACTGTTGGACTTGGATACCAAGGTGTGCGCTGCTACTTGCATTTTTGCCCGGCCTCGAGAGATGGCGCTTCGGCTGTGTTGTCTCTGTACATACCACCCATTCAGTCTTGGAAGCTCTCGAGACTCTGTATCAAACAATTTGTGCATCTCACACTGTCGTCGATCCCCTGGGTGTGGCGGATGCTTCGGTGCCGAGAACTCTCCGGCGCTTATCTTTCTCGTCAGCAACCCAACGCTGCTGGTGAGTGAAATGCGCCGAGCCCGCCAGATCCGGCCCTGTGGTCGAGCCCCGTAGTTCCTATCGTGGCAGCGGAGGACCGACCAGGACCAGGCGGTGAGGGTCTAGACGGGTACCTTACCCCTCGCCTACCACAAGATCCATGCAGGGTCCATCCCTTGGTGCAACCCACGGACCCGGCTGCTCCTGTTCGAAGGGACCTGGCAGCAGCCCCCTCGTTCGAACTCGTTTGTTGCCCAATCAAGCCGTGTTTCTGTTTCGCGACCCAGCGCGGGCGGTGCATGACCCTTACCTTAGCGTTGAGCCTGTTTGTCTCACCCCGTGCCTGGGATTCACTTCGTCACGGTGAGTGAGCACTAACCCATTCACACCGAGCCAAGTCCCAACCCGCCAGCCCGCCAACCCGCAAGCCTGCCGAAAAGGACAAAGTTGGCTTGTTTATCTGAGACCGACCCGGGACACTCACACCACACCCAATCCCGCTGTGCCGCCGGCGCGCGTGAGCTGATGCTGCGCGGGGCGTAGCCTTCGACGGTCATGCCCCCCCTTCGGACCCGACCCCATGGCACCTGCACCACCTATCCTTAGCGCACCGACGTTCAAGGGCTCGGTCCAAGACAAAGTCTGCATGGATGTTTTCCCGGGGCGGAATGGCGTAATCGCATTGATGATGATAACGCGCTGGGAAACATCCCCAATTCAAAAGGCGATTTGTAACCCTGTCTGCCGGTTTACATAGTATGTATATCCGACACAGAATGATGTGATGCTCCGATAGTGACTTGAAAATAACTTGTGCATGTACGCGCATGTCGTTGCTGGTTGCTGGCCAAGACTTGTTACTCCCGAAAACACCCCGTCCGCGTTTTACCCGGCGAGGTTGGTTGGGTTGGTGTATGCATGATTGTATACTTCGGCACCCGGGTCCGGAGATGGTATCGGGCACCCCGTTTCCCGTTGGTTGGGGGCGGAAGGAAGGGGTGGATGCGAGAGGGCTTCGAACGGGTTCTAGGCTAGTATGTAACTCCCGGCTTGTTGACGAGCTGACTTCCTTGAACGGAGACGTACGTGTCGGTCCCGGGCCGAGCGGGAAGCGTGCCGGAGCAGAGATGAGATGGTTGCTGATGCTGGCGCTTGATCCTTACGGGGTTGCCCGTGCATACTTGGAAAAGGGAGGGTAAAGGGGACAGAACTAGCAAGCAACCCGGGCTTTCAAGGATCTGGGCTTGTATGGCATTGATAAAGCTTGCTAACAACTTACCCACTCAGGTTTCAATGATACTTCGCATGATAGAGAGCGAACCACTCCTGTTGCTAGATATTAGAGCACATAATCTGACACGGCCAAAACGTTAGTCGTAGGATGTTCGTGAGGTGTCAGACCACTCTAGGCTTTAACTCCCATCCTAAGATACGGTAAAACCGAGGTCGGCTTATGGGAACACAAGCTAACGCAGCGCATAGCCTCATATAACTTAGACTCCCTCGTCAGCCAAAATGGAACCATGGAAATGCAACCATTGGCATCACATTAGAGTTCCGGTGCCCCATAACCAGACTATCACCTCAGGCACGCTCAGGAAGGGGCTTAAGAGCACAGCGTTGTTATAGTCTATGCGTGGCTAAGGGATAGCTGGGGCAAAGTCGCACCTTGGGGTATAGCACTGAGTGCTCGCAAACATTGCCACATCATCACGATCAACGTCTAGGATTGGGTTTCTGTTACGGTGATTAGTCCTCCGGTTGGCTCCTTCCATTGTCGCACGGATAGACCACCGAAAAGCTAGTGTTTACGGTGGCAAATCATATTCAAGCGCATTGTTTGGCACGAGGTAAAAATAACACCAGCTTAGGAGTTACGTTTCGGACAGGGGCGTCACAAGACAGACCCTCTATTGGTTTTAGCGGTGTCGCTCTATAGACCCCTTGCTAGATCTGCCCCCGACCTTTTGTCTCGCACTACTCGGCGTCATTTCTAGGTGTATCGGCCGATTTAGCAGAGGGCGATCGCATGACTTGTCTCACATGCCCGCGGAGAGGGTGTGGCCGGTCAAGGACGTGGCAAAGACCCCGGGGGAGGTTGCAGTGACTGGACCCCGATCACTCGGTTAACCAAGCCGGGCTCGATGCACTCAAGCCCCAGAACTTTGGGAATGCTCGGTGCCAGCCTATCGGGCTCGCGATGGGACGCCGCTGTCTTAGTCGTGGGCCAACGCGACGGGCCGAGTTCCTACGAGACAACCGCTGCCGAGAAACCCCGGCACTTCTTCCTGGGAGTACCGCTCTTTGGTTTCGTGCATTTGGGGGCCGCTTATGTGGTAGGAAGAGCTTGTTCCCCCATCTAAGTTTCTTTTCTTGTATTGCCGTTTCTTTTTCTTTTTCTTTTTCTTTTTTTTTTCTTTCGGCCGCTCTCTCCTTCAGGTTGACACCGAGAACCCGGCCACAACGGATCACCGATGGCATTCCATCCCTTATGAAGAGCAGTTGGTCGGAAAAAGTTATACCGGAGGAAACGTTCCAGTTGGATGGAGGAGTCGGCGAAGATGCAAGAACGCTAATGCACGGGTAGCCTAGAAGGGTAACTGTAATTCGGGCCGGTCCCGCGGAGATGCGAGTCCTTGGTGACCGTTGCCGGCCGGGGACCTTAGATCAATCGTGAACCCCGGCACGACGCCGAGGACCGAGTAGATGGATCACTGTGTTCGAGACTTTGAGTCTTACTCAGTTACTCTCACCGAAATGGCGGGTCGGCGTGCCCGGTCTTGGTGGTCCGCAAAAAAGGGCCCCGGGCCCGGGGCCGTGCTTGTTGCCCGAGCTCCAGCCGGTCCGGGGTCTTCACTTCTCGAAAATCGGGACTTTTTGGCCCTTCTTGGAGGAAATTAAAGAAAATATTGGAAGCCTGATGGTCTTGGCGCCACGGGACTCGTACGCAGTATTTTTACAGGTGACAGCGCGGCGAAGGAGTTGGTTGAGACAAGATGGAGCTAGGAATTTTCGGCAATCCTTTTCATGCGCATACATACCTGTCGGTTTCGCTCCGGGGACGCGGGCGGCCTGGGCACGAGCGAGAGAGATGCGACGAACTCCTTTCCTTTCTGGGGCGGTAAGTTACGAACACGAAATACCCAAGAACACGACCTTGAAAGAGGGTTAGGGTCGGCTTTGAGTCGGAGAGGTGGTCCCCGAGACTGCTGAGAAATAGCAAAGGCTGTCTGTTTCAAGTAGTACCAGGGGCTACCGCGGATAGGAAGGGCCGCTAGACCTGAGATCGGCAGCCTAGGTGCTGTAGAGAGATCGGATAGACAAGTCATAGTTGGATAATATGACGGTGAAAAAGTGGAAGAAGTTAGAAGTTCGGATAGCCCCTGACCCCGTGTAGCATCGAGGCCTGGCAATGAAAGGGGCAAGGGGTTGGACGACCTGATAGGTAGCGACCGTTGTACTCCGAAGAAAAGAGACAGACGCCACGCAGGGATATCCGTCACCTGCCAAAGTGCCGTTGTGTACATCCCGAGTATTCCATTACTTCCTAATGCCTCTAAAGAAGAAAAATACTGGCCTCCGTCCCTTTGTTGTTTGATAGCAATCCCGCCCACAGTAAGCCCTGAACTCCATTTTATCCCAATCCTGGAAGCCCAACCAAAGAAAAGAATAACTTCCCATCTTCCCGCTCTCGTCCTTCTAACCTCTTCCCCGCGTCCGCACCATCCCGGCATGGAACACCGCTTCCCTCTCCCTCCTCAGGTCTTCTATCTCCCTCCTCATCCGCTCTGTATCCCCCTGTAGAAACTCAATAACCCTCTGCGCCTTGCTCAACACATCCACCTTGCTCACCCGCCGATTATTTTTCCCTTTGACAGCGCCACCACCCGCGCTCCTGCAAGTCCCACCATCAGCCCCCGTCGAAGGACTCTCGTGGTGTTCATCCTCGTCACCTAAAATCCCCTCCGGCAAGACATCCAGCAGCGCCTCGAACCGCGCGTGTAGCCGATGTCGGTACTGCTGTTCCACTAGGTTGTGGTTGGTGCGGGCACGCTGGTGGGCGGGGGACTCGCCCGGTTTGAGGGAGGGGGTAGGTCGTTTAACGCGGCGGGCGGCGGTGCGGAGAGTTGTGCCTTTTGCCGAAGTCGGGGTTTCAGGGTCTGTCGAAGGGTGTGGGTTGGTTTTGGTTTTTTTGTCTGTAGCTGGTGGGAAGCTGTCGTCGTGGGAGGGGGAGGGTTTTGTTCTTTTGTGGGCTTGTTGTCGCTGCTGGGAGCGAGAGAGAGGACGTTTGCAAGGGGGGTATGGGTGCGGTTGCGGGGTGTTTGTCTGCTTGAAGGTTTCGGTGCTGCCGGGGGAAATATGCTCAACAGCTGTGGTTGGGTTGGGTGGGTGAGCAAGGTTAAACGCCTGGGCTAGGAGATGCCCATTTGGCCTGCTCGGATCGGTGGTCTGGCCAGGCCACGGGGTGGTGAAGTCGGGCGCCAGTCCATTGGGGACCGACGTGTCCGTAGGACCCTCCGAGTAGGTAGGTTCGAAGCTCAGCGGGAAGCCGGTACTCCCAACCCAGTCTTGGAAACCGGCATCAAAGATAACTTGTGTTGTGGTGTTGGGGGGGTACAGTAACTGGCTGTGGAAACCGACAGCCGCTGGTTCGCCAACAGCCGGGCTTATTGGGCTGGTTGGAGCCCACGATCCGGCGACGGACGAGGCATCGTGATTCGGCCAGTGGGGCGGCGATGCTGCAGGAGCGGTTGGTGCTGGACTGGGCAACCCACAGGAGTGAGCCGGTCTCCGTTTCTGCGTCTGGACGTAGAGTCCACTGAGGCGGGAGGAGTGACCCGACGCCTGACTGGATGCCCACGAGCCGCGTTGGCCATTGGAAGGCGGCTGGGCCATCAGACCCGAGGGCAGCATATTACCGTGCAATCCATCGGATGCCTGAGAGCTTGTCAGTCATCGCTCGGTTTGCATTCAACTCACCACTACGATGAGCCGGGTTTGATGTTGGTTGGGTGTCCCGGGAATAGCTTGATGGCAGGGGAGCGTCTACTAGTATTCGTACCTGAGATGGCCCATTCACAGGCCAAACGTAATCGTGATTCATTGTGCTCCCTCTTTTTTAAAGGAGGGTTGGGTGATTTGCCTCGTTGTTGGTTGCGGTCGTGGAAAGAGGGGATGTGGTATGGGTAAGGTGGCACTGGGGGGATTTGTTGCAACCCGTACCGATACTGAGCAGCCGAGGGCCCGAGTCCGGCCTAAAAGAGCGGAGGGATGCCCTTGGGATTTGCATTGGACGGCAACCCTCAGGTCGCACTGCTGCCGGTACAGGTTGAGTTCCGCGGTCGAGTAACGTGCGTGGAAAAGACGGGGCACGCCTCGCTCGAGCCTGACCGAGCCCTGAGAAGCACCTTTGGTAGATAGGGTGCTAATGCGGCTGAGCAGCTCTCTCTCTCTTGACTGTCATTGCCAACGTGTGTGACGGTGTCTTTGTGGCACCACCAGACAAGGTAGGAGCGGGATTCCGCCAGGTGCTGCACCTCCACTTCGTTGGCTGGGCTTGGGGCGCCTAGCCACGGATTGAAGGGGAGGGGACGGTCCGCTATGTACATGCTGAATGCTCCCTGCCAGCAGCCAAGCACACTGGCATGCCGCACATCCCCTCTGTCTCTGCAGTGCGGAGGATGGACGCAATGCGGTGTCATTCAAGTGGGTGACCGCCCACTACCATTGGTCTTGAACGACGGCGCCCAACCCACCAATAAGGGTGCCCATCGCCAGCCGAGCAATGCCCGCCAATCCGGGTGCTGGCTTGGTCCCTGGGGCCCTTCATGAGGCTCCCGGGTGACATACCCATGGCTAACCATGACCCCTGGCCAGCTATACTGGGGTGAAGTTTATGGCAGCGCCAACAATCCATGCGATGTGACATTGATCGAGATAGAGCTGAAAGTCTTGCACCCCTTCTTCAGTCGACGGGAGATCGCAATTCTGCGCCTCGAACGCGAAAGGCTTCCTCCGGATCGACGTGCTGCAACGCCCGACATGGCCGAGCGTCCCTGCCTGTATGTTCATACTGCGGGAAGAGAAGAGGATTGGGCGTTTTGCCGACAAAGGGCGTCCGGGCAAGCAAGGCTACTACTTGTCCCTTTGTCTGCATGTCGGCATGGTTGGCCTGCTGTTGCTCGTGGTGGATGTTGGGCTCTTGGATGTTGGCCGGGAAGCTGCAGGAGAACGCTTCGTGTCGCCGTCTGAGAGCGGAAGAGGCAGGCGACGGTGATCTTCTCCTGGGCCAGACTGGTCTGTCCACTTCGGGGCACATAACCGAGTTCCTATGCAGCGTCCCCTCCCACGTCCCGGCTCAAAACGCGGGATTGCAGGCGTCCAGTGCGACATGCGGACCAGGGGGGCCGGGGCAGCCAAGACCGCACCTGGGCGGCGCTGGACTCAGAACAGCGGTTTTCAGCGATCAATGGCAGGTCTGAGTGACTTGGGTGTGACTGGGTCCCTGAAGGACACACTGAGACAGTCGCCAGCCACGCACCGGATTTGTGTACCCTGTCAAACCGGCGAGATGGACGTTGCCTCGAATGTGGGAGCGACACCTGGACCAGGTGCATGCTGTCCCACCACCCCTCCCACCTTTCTCGGTATGATTGCTCGGATTTTCTGGGTTCAGGCGACGGTGGCGGTTGTATTCGGCAACCTTTTGAGTGCGCTGGCTTCCCCGACGGCCGAACTTTTGAGCGATGGAATTCCGAGCGCAGAAATCGAGCTCCTCCCTGCTTGCCGCATCTCCGGCAATCACCAGCAACGAGTGCCGAGCATTGACGGCCGGCTGAGACCTAACAACCGTGCGAAGTTGGGACTCGACAGACCTGCGAGCGAGCGACGGGGACCTCACCGGGGACGACCACTCAGCAGTGTGACGGTGCGCGGCGCGCCGAGGAAAACTCCAACCGACGGAGACCTTCGTTTGATTTTCTCAAGCGGGCGCCGTTTCGCGAGGATTGCAAGTCCCGATGGGCGATGCCGCCGAGAGCCGAGCCGAGAGCTGCCACTCAGGTACGAAAGCAGTTCGGGGAGCATGGGAGGCTTCTGCTCTTGGAAAGCTCAAGGCTGGATCTGGAAAGAATTGAATTTTTCAAGCCCCCGACACTCGACCCCAGGGACCCAAAAAGAGAAAGAGCGACGGTAAGGATAGGGCGGCGGTGGGACATGACCAGCACCAAACAGGTTCTCGCCAATGGGAGCTTTGGAGCAGACAAATAATTCTGCAATACCCCCTCCTTCTGCTCCTTCCACCCCAAGCCGCCTTTCTAGTTCGCTCGCCACGCGATTGCAAGCCTGCAAGCTGCAAGCCCAGCACTCCGTTCAGAAATGCCCCGATGTCCCCCGTCCCTTAAATGGGCGACAAGGTTGATGGGTTATACCGAAGCGAGGTGCAGCGGATGCGCCGGAACCGACCATTCTTGAATCATTCTTGACGGCCAAGACGCTTCGTACTGTGCACATACTTTACAGATTACAGTTTTTGTAGCTACATGTACGCCAGTCATTCTGCGCTTCGAACTAGGCGGACCCGTCATTTAGTCTAGCGGCAATGGCGCTTCTGTTCCTGAGACAACGTGTCTGAGAAGAGGCCTACCTTTGACCGCTGTTCGCAGACCTCGCTCAAGTCCCCACTGTGGAGCGGAGCTGTCCGCGAACTGCCTGGGGTGGTCGTCGATCGCCAAGCGCCCGAGCACAAGCTCCGAGACTAATTCAACGTCGCTTGGGAATCCGGGTGTCTTAGTTGTGTTTCTTTGCCTTGCGAACGGGAGGGGATCGCGCCTCAGGTCAATCGCGTTGCCGTATTTCCATGGCTGGTGAGGCTGTCTGTCAACGAATGCCGGCTCCCCTCGCGCTCTCTTGGTTCGCCAAATCCAACAAATAGGCAACCGTACCGATTTGTTGGCTCGGTTGCACTGCAGCCGGCCCGGCATGGTCCTGCACCCAAGACATACCGAGATCGGGGCTCGTCAACTCTTTTGCAACGTCCGGCTGGATTTTACTAGGACGGCGAGGTCATTTCTGGCTTTCCGCCCGCCAAACACCTCCCGTGTAGCTTTTCTAGAACGATTCAAGCCGCGATGAGACCTCTCGGGAGCTCCCGGCTGCTTTTACCCCAAATGTCTCGCTGGTTAGTTTGTCGATCTCGGTTTGAGCCAGCCCCGCCTCCCCCAAAACGAATCCAAAAGGGGACGGCCGTGCCCCCGGCATATCAAAACACAGCGCTGCCGCCGACTACCCACGCCCCGAATACCCGGTCATTCGTCGGCGCTCTCTTGTTATACCTAGCGAGATTGCCGGTCAAGCAGGGGTTTTTGCCTACAGAGAGCATCGGACCGCACGGTCTTGAGAGAGCCCGGGTGAGGATCCTAATCTCCAATCTCTTGGTTCCAATAGCACGCTACATGTCCTGCATGCAGCGTTCGATATCGCGGTCAAGCCAACGTGCCGAATAGCATCGCTCAGCCCAGGGATGCGTGGTGCCACGCTGTTCTTTCTTTCTGGTCTTCTCTCGAAATCCCTGATTGATAGGCGGATCCAATGAGGGAGTGCATCCCATCCCCAACATACGATTGAGGTGACTGGCTCTAATGGGTTGAGTTGGTGATGGCCTGTGGGCGCCAATCACGCTGTGATACCTAATGAGGGTACATATCCCAGCCACTGACACTGTCAGCAAAGCATGTCAAAGAGCAGAGCGGGGTAGGTTGCAGCACCCCGCGGTAGATGAAGAGTGAGGCTGGCGTGGACCGAATGCCTTTAACCACTCAGCTACTGGTATCGGCACGACGAAACTAAACACAGAGTCGCCATAGACGGATTGAAGGAATAGGATCGAGATAATGGGCCATGATATGGTCCCCGCCATCAATTGTTACGGCGACCCTGCAGATAAAAACCCACCCACTCCCGGTTGTGTTGGGAGGTAAGGGCAATTACAGGGGTTTCTTTTCTTTTCTTTCTTTTCTTTTTTAAAGAGGCTATGTGTTGTGCCATGCATATTTGACGGATGACGAGATAAAAAGCAATCATCAAGCCACGAATGAACGGGCCATGATCCCCGTAACTGTAATAGTGACGGACGTGTCAGGGGAAGAAGAGTGGTTTGCTCTCAAGAGCCACAAGAGCCACGGTTCCAGTACCACACTCACACAAGTGCCATCATCTTCGGCCACCGAATGAACCGCGGGACGGTGGTAGATATGACCACCGCTGGTACTTCAAGTACCGGCAGACACCGGGTGAGGTGGTGCTCATCAAGTGTTCTGAGAGTGGTGGGGGGAGGCACGGGTGAGGTGGGCGCTGCACTGGGTGGCGGATTCGGAGACGGAGGCCGGGAGAGTGTGGAGGTGAAGTGTTCGGCTTGTCATGAGCAGAGTTGAATGGCGTGAGGAATCCTTGATGGGTTCAGTCAGCCACAACAAATCCGCCGGGGGGCGGCCATTGAGAACATGATGCGAGGGGATGGTAGATTAGCAACTACAGACCAGCTTTTCGAAAAGAAGCCCTCCCGTCCATTTCGCGCCGAACTCCGGATAAAGAGAGAGATTACAGTGTAAAACCCGACGAGAATGCAAAGAAAAGGATAAAAAAAGGACCTATAGAGTGATGGATACTCCCCTGTGCTAAGAAAAGGACCTATAGAGCGACGGATACACCCTGTCCTACGACAGGAGGCCGACCTTCACCGCACCGCTCATCCGATACGGTAAGCATCGTACACAATCTCGGCACCGCGCCGGCAACCACTGCCGAGCCAGGTGCCCGTATTTATCTCCTGGTAGCGCTCGTCGCCCGTCTCGAGCTCCATGGTCACGCGGAGCCGGTACCGATGGGCGGCAACGTTGTCCGCGGCGACGGGGTCTTGCAGTCTCTCCATGACGTCACGTTCGCCAGTCAGCCATCCCGTGATTTTGCAAATGATCAGCGCGGGGTGTTCGTCGTTGGTCTGCATCAGGTACCGCGCGTCGATGCGCGTTGCGGTGTCCTTGACGGTTGTCTGGACGTCTTGCCCACTCGGCTGTGGGATCGATGCAGTTAGCTTCAATGTGAAAAGTAGGGGGGGATGCGCAGCAACTCCTTACCAGAAGTACACCCTTTCCCCAACTGCCGGCCCACTGCCCACCAATACAGGATATCCAGCTTTGGCGACCAGCCGGCCCGGAGCCCACATTCAGCTTGGGCTTTACCCTTATGCTCATTCGAAAATCGAGATCGAGAGCGGGGGCAGGCAGTGCTAGCGAGCTCGCAACGTCGTCCTCATCGAACTGATGGCGGAGGTTGTTGGCCGGAATCTTGTCCTTGAGCACGGACTGGTAGCCAGCGCAGGCCATCAGATGCTCCCTCTGCCTGGATGTATTCTTGGCGCGGACTTGGTTGCAATAGATGCATCGAGCTGACATGCACTTGTCGTCCTCCTTGGCCCGGAACTCGACGAAGGCTGCGTGGACATCGCGAAGGGGAATCTCGGGCAAGTTCGAAGCCGGGGATTGCTTGGTCTTTTGCTTTTTGGCTGCCGGTGTCCCCTCGACTCCGAGCGACGGGCGGCTGTGGCTCGGCGACCCATTGATGCGGGGATTTGGCATGAAGCTCAAGTTCGTATGCTCGTTCGCAACGTCATCGTGACCGTAGGAAGAAACGACGGGCGGGATGGGGGGGATGGGCGGCGGGTGCGATGCGTGTGGTGGATGTGGTGCATCGTGGGCGGTCGGGTGCGGTGGGGGAGGGGGCGCATGTCCCTGTGGCCCGGGAGCGGGAGCTGATGCTGCTGCGACGGATGCGGCCGAAGCTTGCAGAGCGACTTCAGGGTGGGCTTGGAGATAGGGTGCGCACTGGAGGAGGTGTTGCTTCTGTCGGGTCGTGTTCTTTGCTCTGACCTGCTGGCAGAAAAGGCACTGCACGGAAACGCATTTCTGGTCATCTATGCATGTGGGGACGGGCAGAAGTCAGCCTCCAGGATGCTCAGCGCGATGGGTAACATACTGTCAATACGGGAACGGGTTACTACCCGGGGGACAGGGAGACGGGAATACTCACCACCAGCGCGAAACTCGACGAAAGACGTATGCACGTCCTGATCCACGTGGCGCGGCATGTTTCCGAGATGAGGCCGGCACCACTGCTATTGACGGGATACAGTCGATGTTGGCGATAGACTTCGTATTGAGGTGACAGAAACGACGCGTCGCGGCGGAACAGCTTTGGAAATACCGTAATCAAGTGCAGATGTCACGTGATGATAGGAGTCAGGGTCCAACCATTTTCCCCCATGCATTTCCCGTCCACATTTCCTCGTTGGTAATAATGAAGCTTCTCGGGCAGTATCTCCTTCCTTCCGATCAACATAATTTATGTACCGGAGAGTCACACCATGATTTCTAGATTGATATTCAAGGTCTGTTCAACTGTGCCAATTTTAGCCAAATACCTGGCGCTCAGAGGGGCGACCCCAGCAAAACCCCATCGTCCACAAGACGGTGACTGTCAAACAACACAGGGGACAAAAACTCGCCACTAAAATCTATATCTAATATATTTTCTTGTGTTTGGAAAAGTCGGCCAAGCTCGGTGATGGAAATCAGCCGAAAAAGTGGCGGAAGGGACATGAGGTGGTGACATCAAGAAAATTTGGGTCATGATGTGGGAAACGGCAACTAAAGTCTAAGTAGTTTCACCCTTGAATTTTGCTACTCAATGCCAGACGGTATGGCACCCATCCTGGTCTCAACGGGCTTAGTGGTGGGGGCCCGGGGGAGGAGTGAGGACGGGCAGGTAACGTTGAGATGGCGACGATGGCCTCCTCGTCGTTTCCCCAATCATTGCTCAAGAGATCTGCGCGGGTGATACACTGACAAAACCGGGACGCAAACGGTATGAAGACCGGCGAAGCACGGAGGATTTACCAGCGTTGCACGCCGGCTTCCCAACTAACGGGATTCCCTACCTGCGAGTATCGTCGAGGGCACCTGACATGACACGACACAATTCTCACTCACTCACACAACTTTGTCGCCCACAAGCCAGATCGAATCGTAAAATCAGTTTTGCGCTGAAAAGAGAGCTTGTGCGTGTCGTATGATTCTGCAACTTCGTGACGCAACCACATCGGAAGGCTCCGCGAATGCGCTTGCGGCTTGGGTGGTGTCATGGTTGTGGTTTTCGATGTCGGCCTGAGCAATGTTGACGGAATGTGTACCCGGTCTCCGCGCCTGCCTAGTGCCTACGTAGGTTGAGTCCAATCTTTGACCGGCAGGCGGATTCGACATGTGAACGATTTTGGTCACTACCTAGATGTATTATGTCCATTTTCGCAAGAGCCCAGAAAATTGACTTCCCTCAACACTGACACATCTCATTGCCCTCATAGATCTCATCCTCGCCCTCCGCTTTGCGAAAACGAGCAACTTTCCATCACCTCCCAAGCTCCTCCATTAGGAACCTAAAGGCTCCCATAGCCGCTAGTATCAAATACACCCACTCACAGCGACCTTTTGTGGATTTGTCTGTCACGACCATCTTCCTTCTGAGCGCACCTTCTTCCCAACCCACGACACCAGTGCCTCTCTCGTCTTATCCCCGCCGAGCCGCACGATAATGCCTGCCTCGGAGAACATGCCTATCAGCTTCACTTTCGGAGAGGAGATGCTGGAGCAGGAGTCTGAACCGCAGGGCTACACTTTTCAGCCCTCGGGCAAGGTGCGTGTGAGTAACCCAGGGACAGACAGCACGCCCACGTCTACACTCTCAAAGCCTGGAAGAGACTTGGCATTGACACTGAGTTTGCACAGCGGGAAACAAAATGCGACAGACGCAGACGGTTCCCAGAGACCCGACGCGACAGGCGCCTACTGTTCCAGGAGTTCCGGGCGCAGGCCCTCCAGGGCGAGATTCACGAACGCTACGCGCCGCTCCGGTCATCACCACTCCGCAACGAGATCCGCCGGGCGGATCTGCCAGACCCTGCCGCCCCGGGAACCGTTGAGGCGGCCGACAACCCGCAGTCGGACAGCATGGAGGGCTCGACCTGTGCTGACTCGAGCAGTGACTCGTCGTCGGACGATTAGGATGAGTTCGACGACCGACCGCTCCAGCGTCAGCGACAACACCGGGCCGGGAACGCCGCTGCGAATACAGGTTTGGTCAGGAGGCCTGTGGGACTTACATCGCTTCAACGGAGGACGTGTATTACCCGCCGTCCCTCCGAGATCTCGGTTCCACGTGCGCCTCGGCGGCTCGCTGGCGCTGGGGCCGTGCCGCAGCCACTCCGGCCGTTGGTGACAGGAAGGGAGGCCCGCAATGTAGCCGTCCCCGCGTGGCACCAATCAGCACTGGTGGCTATGCCAGACCCAGAGTGGATGTTTGCGCTGAGGTTGATGATGGAGACAATGGTGGTGGCTGGCCCACGCAGATTCACCGAACAGAAGCGCGGACGGTGCAGCCCGCATTACCGGCGGTGCGGTTGATTAGTGTCATGAGCCAGGACTGGGGGATGTGTGCTCATTTGTTTGAAGTTTGAACAGCGCTCAATGATGTTAATCATAAATACTAATTATAGCCTAGTTATAGGTCGATAGACAATTGCTTTTGGCTACAGCTACCTTACCCAGCAGATCCAGATTGCCCTTTTCAGACCCAAGTCACCCCAACCGCCTTTCCGAGACCGACGTGACCGACATGACTTGAGGAACCAACAGGTTGGAACGAGCATGTTTTCATGACAGTAGCAGGCGCCTGGGAGAGATATTCGTCGGAGAGCATCCCGGTCGACCCACCTCCTTGCATGTATGGAGGGCAGAGTCTGCTTGCGGCCCGAAAGCTTAACAGCCATTGCAAGGATAGCCCTGTTTCGACTCTGCTTGGCCAATCTCTGAGTGGAAGCCCACACAGCACACACCAAGTTCTCCACTCGATGTTTTCCACCAGTCCACAGAGTTGTACAGAGGCCATCCAGAGTTTGAACGCCATCATGAAGCAATGCATCCTTTTGCCTCCCTTCTCCCGCCTCGTCATCAGTTTGTGTCTATATAGAAGTCTCTTCGACCCATCGAGACCAAACCGAATACCGTCATCAGAGACAACAATTACGCCAGAGGACGGCTCCCGTCCGATCCATCAGAAATAATACGTCATACGGCTGACCAAAGCAAAACCTTATCCTCAAAGCCGCAATGTGTTATTTTACAGCCCTGACGGCCAAACGGAAGCTGTTCGGCTGATCGGTAAACAAGTTGCTTCTGTTTAGCGGAGACAACGGCCCGAAACCACAGCAAAACAAGGCAAGCCCCGCCGCGCCAGGGTATCGACTCGTGCTGTTGCCTTCATCAGGCATGGGGCGACCTTTGAAAGATGTTTTGGTGTGCGTGTCTGACGCGAGGGACGGCGACGATGTTTCAGGCTTTCTAGAGTCTGATGGTCCGCGTTCTCAAGACCTCGACCACGTGAGGATACTATTCGATCCGAGATATCGGCTTCGAGGACCAGTGTTTGGTGAGCAACTGCGCAAAGGACATCTGTCTCGCTTCATCTCGTTTGTCGAGAGGTTGGTCTCGGGTCGCGAAGCCAGCACGTGCATTTTATCGTCAACTTGGAGCGACGTCTCGCGCTTTCATGGACGGCGAGATGCCGAACATCTCGGCCAACCAGCGACTCTCCCGCCCACTTATTCCTCGCGCCGATCCCAGGAGAGGATCTGGAAGCCCTTGGCGCTGTGACGTTGCCAAGATCGGTTAGGCGCTTGAGGCGCTCTCCCCCTGGCTCACTGTCATGTTGGTCCCCGAAGAATGTTTCATGAGCTCCACTGTCGCCACCACGAGAACGGCGATGGGGTGATAACAGCTACAGCTTCCGTTATCTGATTCGCGCATTGGTCAAACTCGGCTCAGGGCGGACCGAGATCCCTGGGGCAAACTCTATGCCAGATTTCGCGCCGCTCAGCTTTTCTCGGGGCTGCTCGTGGTTAGCTGTCGTGATAAGGACGATCGGGCGAGTGGACTGTGTTTCTATCCCAGTCACTCTGATTCAGGCCCCGACAGAGTCCGAACAATGTCCGCTTTTTCATAACCTGATCATGGAGTATAAATACTGGACGGCCCCCTAGATGGCTGGAAGGCTGGATCAAGCGTGGGACTTGGGGCTTGTATTGTGTTCTGTCCTTTCTACATATTTCGATTAGCATCCCGTTCTCCTTCCCTTCTTTTCAGGAGTCGGGACCGACCGGGACTGTATAGACGTCAAAGCCAGGCCAGGCTGCACCACTATCGATCATTTTTGGCCGCTCGTGAACCCAAACCCGAACCCGGTGCTGTCGATCGTTCTTCGACGAGAGCGAGAGGACCTAGGGAAGCATCTCAAAGCAAAAGTTGACCGTCACATATCCCATACAACATGCATAAACCCGACAAACTCCCCAATGGGGAGACCCGGCAGGATTATAAGCTGGTAGCTTTTGTGGATGGGGACCCGGAGAACCCCAAGAACTGGTCAAAAGCGCACAAGTGGTACATCACCATGGTCGTTGCCGTCACATGTTTCGTCGTCGCCTTCAACTCCAGTGTCATCACCTCGGATATACCGGGTGTTTCCGAATCTTTCAACGTCAGTCATGAGGCTGCTCTTGTGCCCATTTCGGTGTTTGTCGTTGGTTTTGGTGTTGGTGGGTTTGTCTTTTTACCAGCTCCATATCTGGCAAGTGGCTAACACGTCTTCAGGCCCCATGATATTCGCACCTCTGTCTGAGGTTTTCGGGAGACGCATCATCTAGTACGGTCTCTCTTCCCCCTTCCGCCGATGGCGGTCAGAGGGCGGTATGATCCCAGACAGCTAACATTCGCGGTCTTAGTGGTTCCACGCTCTTTATCGCCGTCGTCTTCATCATTCCATGCGCAGTCTCCAAGAACATCGGCACCCTCATCGTTTGCAGATTGATCGACGGCATCGCGTTTTCAGCACCCATGACGCTAGTCGGTGGCACGCTTGCCGATCTCTGGAGAAACGAAGAGCGCGGTGTTCCCATGGGCCGCTTTCTCTGCCGCCCCATTCATCGGTCCTGCCAGTATGTCCAACTCCCAAGGCTGGCATCTTGCAGCTCTATCCGCTAACCTAACCTTCACACTTTCACAGTCGGTCCTCTCGTTGGCGGTTTCCTGTCCGACGCTGCCGGTTGGCGCTGGCTGTACTGGATCCAGCTCATCTTGTCCTTTATCGTCTGGATCCTCATCACCTTCACCGTGCCCGAGACGTACGCGCCCACCATCCTCGCGCGCCGCGCCGCCAAACTGAGAAAACAAACCGGCGACAACGGCCACGTCACCGAGGCCGAGCTCGACCCGCGGCCCTTCTCCCAGCGCATCGGCGTCTTCCTGGTCCGCCCCTTCCAGCTCCTCTTCCGCGAGCTCATCGTTTTCCTCGTCAGCCTGTACATGTCGGTGCTCTACGGTCTCCTGTACATGTTCTTCGTCGCCTACCCCATCATCTTCGAAGTCCGCAAGGGCTACTCCTCCGGCACCACCGGCCTCATGTTCATCCCCATCGCCGTCGGCGTCATCCTCTCCGCCACCTGCGCCCCCCTGGTCAACAAGCACTACCTCACCCTCGTCGCCAAGCACAACGGCCGCCCCCCAGCCGAAACCCGCCTCATCCCCATGATGATCAGCTGCTGGTTCATCCCCATCGGACTGTTCATCTTCGCGTGGACGTCGTACAAGCGGCTCATCTGGGTCGGCCCCTGCCTGGCGGGGGCTGCCCGTCGGGTTCGGCTTCATCTTCCTGTACAACTCGGCCAACAACTACCTGGTCGACTCGTACCAGCACCAGGCGGCGTCGGCCCTGGCCGCCAAGACCTTCATCCGCTCCTTCTGGGGCGCCGGCGTCGTGCTCTTCACCGAGCAGATGTACGACCGCATGGGCGACCAGTGGGCGTCGAGCTTCTTGGCGTTTTTGAGTCTCGCGTGCTGCGCGATTCCGTTCCTGTTTTGGCGCTATGGAGCCACCATTCGCAAGCGCAGCAAGTATGCGTTTGGCGGGGATGAGGAGGACACGTCGGATTCGGATGCTGAGAAGGCGAGGAAGCCGATTGATCCGACCGCGCCGTTGCATGAGGATCTGGAGGATCTCGAGAGGGCGAGGAGCTATGTCGCTAACCCGTAAAGGGGGCGCGGAGTGATGGTCATGCCGCTTCGGTGTTGTTGGTCGCGCATCTTGTGTGATTAGGTTGGGGGCCGTGGCGCCTCACGCGGATGTTGAGTGGGGGATAATACGGACAGAGGGGGCTATTTATTACCCCTGAAGCCAAGAGATAGAGTGGTGGGGCATTCATGGTGGTGTTTTGGGTTTATTGTTTTGGTTCTCAAAATCAGGGATCTCGGGCAGGGATGGGCATCTGGATCATGGTGGATTGTTTGTCTTGATGGGTGGCATAGGGCCAATGGGCGCTTTATAAGATATTAGACACGGGGGCTTGTTCCTGGTATTAGGAAATAAGAAGATCCAATGTTCTTCCAACAATGCACTTACTTTACCCTAGCTGTCAATGTCACTCCAGCACCCAACAGAAGAGGGCGTCTTATTCCTTCCTCTGTTAATTTTAAACCTCTTAGGGTCTTTAGATCCTTGCTTAGGGATGTTGGTGATACGACGTCAACTCTGCTTCTTGTCTTTCTCTGAGCAGCTTTTCCCGGTTTCTCACGTTCTCGGAAGCTGTGTCACCCCTGGCCATCCGGTTGTGGTAAGGTGATTCCCGGGCCCCCCCATGATAGCCCTAAGCCAACGCCGTATGCGGCTCGCCTCGCTATTTGCCAGAGACCCGGGAGCTAACTAACGGTCTTCGGAGATCGTCGAGAGCCGCCGGCAGGCTGGGCCGAAACGTGCTGCGCGAACTAACGACAGGCGATCCTACCTTTATCCCCGCCAAGGAGCGGGGCTACCACACCGCCAGCGAGCCAACCACTCCAACGCCTTGTGTTGTGGGTTCAAGGTTCTGGGCAAGTCTGTTGGTGATCTCAACACGACGCTGTCATACAACTACCCTGTCCGGTAACAGCTCGATTCGTCAGACGACGCGGGGTGGGAACTGAAAACGTCAGTTCGACGGAAAAAGATGTCTTAATGGGGATCCCCCACGGCCCTCCTTTCTCGTGCTCCCTTCTCTTCCTTCTTCTTTGAGCAGCATCATGCATGTCGATCGAGGCTGGACTCTCACACCCAAGGTATTATTCTCGCCGCCCCATTCAACATGAGGTACCTCTTGCAAAGCATGAGGACGGGCCTGCTCCTGCTCTCCTCCTCCATCCCAGCCCTCGCCCTCTCGACTCCCACCCCCATCTTCACCCTCCCCGGCACCATAGCGCCAGAATCATGGTTCGAGAACCTCGCGGTCCGCCCCAACGGGCTCATCCTCGCCACCCGCGGCGACGCCCCTGAGATCTGGCAAATCAACCCCCGAACAGGCGCAGGCACCCTCCTGGCCACCGTCGCAGACACCTTCAACCTGACGGGCATCACGCAGCTCACCACAACCCCAGAAACCTACGTTTTCGGCAGCTCGCACATGCTCTCCTTCACCGAAGTCGTCCCTGCCAGCGCCAAAATCTGGACGCTGGAATTCCCCGCCCCCGGCAGCACCCCCACCACCACCAGCACACCCCCCGTAGTCTCCCTACTCACCACCCTCCCCGCGGCGGGCTTCATCAACGGAATGGCGACATGGGACGCCAACCGCGTCCTGCTCAGCGACACGCTGACCTCCTCCATCTACCTGCTCGACGTGGCGACAGCCACCTTCACCACACCCTTCTCGTCGCTGTCGGGCGTCAACGGCATCCGGACGGCGCCGGGGTACGTCTACTGGGTGGACCCCATTGCGCTGAAGCTCAGCCGCACTCCCGTGGATGCGGACGCCGTGCCCACGGGCCTTGCGGAGCTGCTGCTGGAGGACCAGCAGATGGATGACTTTGCACTGGCGGTGGATGGGACCGGGGCCGGGAAGGCGTACTTGGGGACGCTGTTGGAGAATGTCGTGGTGGAGGTGACGTTTGGGGCGCCGCCGTCTGCGGGGCTCGGGGTGAAGAGGGTGGTTGCGGAGGATGTGAGTGGGACGGGGACGGGGGCGGTTACGGTAGCTGTGTTTGGAAGGCGGACGCAGGATGCTGGGTTGTTGTACGTGGCTGTTGGAAGGACGGGGCGGGAAATGCGGCTTATTGTCATGATTCGACCCCGAGTGAATTAGGGGTGATGTGGTAAGTTCGTGTTAGTTCCGTAGGCGGTGAAATGTATCGAGAGGAGACGCCGTCTCGACGGGATCCCCCAGCGAGGGGCCTGTTTCTAGTTTTAGAGCCTCCGTCAGGCAGTGTATAGGGAGGCGTATGAAGCGGAAAGAAAGACCGACGTGTAGCTGAAGATGCCTTTCCATCCATTTGACCTCCACTACCACAATGGTCATACTCGTTGTTCAACAGGGACACTTAGCCCAAATTTTCCCCCACCTTGTCTTCCTACCGGTAACACTCTTCCTCGCCGGTTGCTTTCATTTGGACTCTTCCTCGCGAGCTGCTTTCCCTCGGATAAGGCCGACGTTTAGTAGATCGCTACCGGTTAGGCCCCCGCCATGGTAGGATTTGTTGTTGGGCCAGGTGATCTTACCTTCGAAGTCGGTCAACGGCTCGCGTTTTCTCAGCGTGTTTGTATTCAAAGACGGGTAGTCGGCGTGTGTGTGGGTCTTCGTTTAATCGGCTGGAAGCCTAGAATCAGCCCATTTGGCCGGAGGTGGTGGTGATTGCTTTTGGTGTTTCGCAACACGGACTGCCCAGCTGGGGATGAGACACGTCGAGGAGACTGCTAACAGAAACATTAACAGATCTGAAAGCTGATGATGACGGGAAATCAGCAATAACATACATTCGCCGTCGCCGGCTCCCTTAGATCATATCATGAGCGTCTTCATCTACCGTAGGAAGAAACTCTGGAGCAGGTTCTAAACTGCTTCTTAGTGTTACAGCAATACCGGGCTGCTTTAAGGCGGTATCATAAGACCAGCCCGCCGTAAAAGACTTGATGACGGTGTTTTCCTACTCGGCCCTCGCGTATCTCCAGTCCTTGAGTCCATAGTATTTGTCGGTAGCAACGTAGTCATATTACTCCGCGCATCTTGAGTCTTGGACGCGGTATTGTGACGAACCTACTCCAGGACCCCGTCCTGTTAGGGTTCAGCTTCGGTCGAAGGCAATCTTGCAAGGGTGCTTAGGTTCGGTGCAGCCAAAGGGTGCACAACAAAGACTTGTCCCAACAGTAGGCTTTCGAGCTTGTAGCGAACTGTAGTTGTGATTGCTAACTGGAGAACTCCCAGAGCTCTCCAGAACGAGTGACTATATACCTAGCTAATTCCAGGGTGCTCAGTGTGCTCAGTCTGCCCTTGGCAACTGAGCTCACTGACCACTGTCGAGTTATTGTTATCCAGATTGGTGATCTTTACCTGGTGCTCAGTGTGCTCAGTCTCGGCTTGGCGACTGAGCTCACTGATCACCTCGATCACCTTTCCTGGCTCCCTGATTGATCCTTTTAATGATTGCCTCGGGGCGTCCCGCGACCCGAGGTCCCTCCTGTTGGCATATTCGAGACAACAATAAATATAAAAAAATCGGTCGATCGAGGTGGGACTCGAACCCACAACCTCAGTCTGAATCCTTCTGAATAATAGGAGGACCACACGCTACCATTACGCCACCCGACCGTAGATTGGATTAATGACGATTTGAATTGATACAAGAACCCCCACAGGAGTGACCGTGCCCGCTGCGCGCGGGCACGCCAAAGGAGCCTGGAGGAACTTGCCGGCTGCAGGTAGGCCCCATAGCGGAGTCAACGATGTAATCGTCTTTTTCTCCATTTCATGATGGTTATTGACGAATGCTGGGAAAGTAAGGAAAGGTGGTTTCTCCAGTCAGACTAGCGTCTAATCGTCCAGTCGCGCCCTCTTTTTTCCCGCTGTAGACCTCTTGCTTCTGATTGGCTCGGGAGAGGTTTGCTTTTTTCTCTTTTTTGTTGGGGTGGTGTCAACCGGAGCGAGTTGATCTTCCAACAATTGCTCTGTGTCTGAACCGTCGTCGGTGCGACCGGTATCTTGTTGGTGGTTAGCCCAGTTAGCGAGCTCGAAGGAAGTCATACCTGAGCTTGAAATTGTAAGCACTGGCTCGGCGTTGGTTGTGGTCGAGTTCGATGGTGCGTCAAGGATGGCCGATGGTTCGGTTGCCTCATGCTCCAGATGCTTCCGGGGCCGTGCCGGGTTTTTCTGTTTATTTGTCACCGTGTTTTGGCCGCCAACGGGCGAGGAGAATGGGTTCCAGCTCGTGATTCCTTGCGGACCGGTTGAGCGTGGTGTTGTAGGTATTGTGCTAGGTCGTAAGGGTGTCGTGTTGTGAGCGGTTAAGCTGCTTTGCTGAATAGACTCCCAGTCGTCTGGGAGAATGACTGGGATGCGAACGCTTGTGTCGATGAGTTGAGGGCCTTGGATGAGGTTTCGATCGAGAACTCCTAGGAGGCGACCGTTGCATGCGATCCAGGATCCTCTTGGAAATGGGTTCACAGCTGTTCGCATCCAGCCGGCTAACGACTTCCACGGTTGTTGTTCAATGGGAAAGACGAAGGACAGCAGCGTGACGGCAACTATCCAGGGCAGGCAAGCGAATCTGTCTTCTGCGCATGACGATGGGCCTCATGGGAGCCCACAGCGGCACATTCACAGAGACGGAGGGTCAGCGGACGAAGTCGGTCTGGGCGGACAGATGCAGCTCGAGTTCGGCCGTTATGCGACGTACGTCGATGTCGCCTTTGGGCTTACGAGGCACTGGACCCTAAACAAGCTCCAGTCGCTGGCGGTATTAATACCAGCAGCTTTCCTTGACGACCGCGGCACGCGGCTGCAGGAAGAGGGGGGCTGGCAGCACTTCCAGTACGTTGGCGGCGAGGGCGGCACGGGGAAATCTCGCGTCATCCACGCAATCCACGACATGTTCCGGCTGAAGGACGGTCTCCATACCCTGCTCCTGACGGGCGCCAGCGGCAACGCGGCCGCGCTGATCGGCGGGGTGACGCTGCACTCGGCGACCAACATTGGATTCGAGGGCAAGAACGAGGTTGCAAGGAACATATCGGAAGAAGAAAAGCTGCGTTGGAAAATATGGTCATGTTGATCGTCGACGAGATCAGCCAGGTGGGCGGACTCACGCTCGCGGCGGTAGACAGCCGTCTGCGGCAATACAGGGACGACCAGCATCGCCCGTTTGGCGGGATCCTGTCACGGAATGACCCCGAGGCGGCCAGGGCGGCCGCAGCCGACGGCGCAGGACGCCAACAGCCAATCGCTTAAGGACCAATAAGAACTGGGTTATCACCAGTTGTCAGTGATAATGGACGATCATCACGAGTTGTCAGTGATAATGGACGATTATCACTGGTTGTCAGTGACAAAGGGCGATTATCACCAATAGAATGGTGATACTAGATAGTATATAGTCACTCGTACTGGAGAGCTCTGGGAGTTCTCCAGTTAGCAATCACAACTACAGTTCGCTACAAGCTCGAGAGCCTACTGTTGAGACAAGTCTTTGTTGTGCACCTTTTGGCTGCATCGAACCTAAGCACCTTGAGAGATTACCTTCAACCGACGCTGAACCCTAACAGGTCCTGAGGTAGGTTTGTCACACTTTTTTCTTAATTATATATTATTATTATTCATACTCCGTTATGCCCTAGGGCGTGCCGGACCCTCAGCTATTTAGGAGTCTCTCTAATCGTACGGGGTCGCCAACCTAATTGTACGGGGTCCGCACAGACTACATGGATTGCGCCACACCTGAGGGGGATCTATTCCAGGGAACTCAGGCATCGATTTCTATCTGTCAACTAGCCAAGGGGGTGTCCGGTTCTGGCCTCCCGAGCTGTATGGCTGCACTAGACGCTGGACCTGTACCTCCTTGGGTCTCGTATACTCTATTTTGCTGGCCTCGTCCCCGTCCGCGACCTCTTCCCCGTCTTCCTGTAGTCCCCCGAGCCCCCGAGCCCCGTCCACGTCCTCGTGCCGGCGTCGGTGTCGACACTTCGATATCCCGTCCTTGATAGAGGTGTCCCTGGATCTCCGCCTGGTCCATAAGCTCCCATTGAGAGGGATCACGTTGGCGGCTCGCAGCGGCTCGTCGACGATAGTTGTCTCCACGTGGGATGGCAGCAATGGGGATCTGCTCGGGTCCAATAACTGGTCTTCCACGACGTACCACAACTGCGAGGGGCTCGAGGATAGGGAGATAGAGGTCCCCAGAGGCAAGGTCCTTGCCGAGCCTCCAATGCTCGTGGGTGTCTCGGATTGTAAGCTCCTCGTTAGCGCGGAGCCTCTCCTCAATCTTGTGGGAACAAGGCCAAACTGGCGCCGGAACGACCCTGTACAGGAGTCTTCGTCAGGTGACTGGGCACGTCGTTGTGCCTCTGTAAGCTTGGAGAGAGCCTCGACGCGACGGTGGCAGAGCTGGTGTTGTAGGGTCACGAGACCTAGGGCCTTCCTGCTGATCTTGAATCGTAGATCCCCAAGCCATCTCTTCTTCCGATATTGCTCAAGCTGGCGCGGTGATAGATTCTCGCTGTCTAGGTAGGGACGATAGGGAAAAAGGGGCAAGCATGATGGGGCCGTTGCTCAGAGGCCACGGAAAAAAGGGGGCGGCTCGTGGGTTCTCAACGGGGGTTAGGGTTGGGCGAGGGTTGCCGAGGCTTAGCCCCTCTTAGGTGTGGCGCAATCCATGTAGTCTGTGCGGACCCCATACAATTAGGTTGGCGACCCCGTACAATTAGAGAGACTCCTATTTAGTGTACAGGATAACCGTGCCCTCCCGGGCCGGGTGAAAGGCCCATACCAACAATCAAGGAACGATGCGTTCTGGTGAGTCTGCGTATACAAAGAGAGGAGGCCTCCTGGCCTCCGAACGGGGGCGCTTCAGGCCGCCGCTTCCAGCTCGAGCCTCCTGGCTAAGTTGTACATCGGCAGCTTCCCCGAGTCCATCAGCCAGTCGAGGACTCTCCTCGCGAGCCGTGCAGTCGTGGGATTGATGCCGTGTAGAACAGAGTAAAAGTCCTGTCGTGTCCGAATTCCAGTTCTCTCCCATCTTCGAGTCAACGGTGGGGCCAAACACCACACTACCAGGTGTTCGGCAGTCACTCGTCCCTCGCCACACTCGCAGGCAGGAGTCAGAACCTCCGGGACTCCCCGTGTAAACAAGAAGTCCCGTAAGCCTATTGCTCCCGTCCGGATTTGAATCAGCAGTGAGCTTTTTGCCTTGCTGAGACCGTCGTGCCTCCTTACCTTAGGGTTCCGTTCCGGAATAACGTCTCCTGCTGATGGTCAAAGTCGTCCGCCGGTCTGGTGATCGCTCTGCCGTCCCGTTCCTTTAACCACCACTCGAGGAGGGGTAGTTAGTTCGCTTTTCTTTTCCTCAAGGGCGTTGGGATTTGCACGAACAAGGCCGAGTTCAGCCCTGTGAGGGATGCCAAGCTGTGATGGTCTGGTGGGATGATTGGATCTGGCAGAGCAGTGATCTCAAATCCAAGTTGTGTTGAGGACGGCTGCTTTGATCCCAATTCCCAAATCCTACATGCCGGCCTCCTTTCCGGCACCTAACCCTCACCGAGCGCTAAGCAACGGAACCATCCAGGCGTGTATAATCCTCCAACCCAACATGCCGACTACGGGAGAAGAGGATTTTTATGTCTTGGAAGTGGAGAAAGATAGACCGCAGTGTTCTGCCACCGGTGCCAGGACTTGTTGCAAGGCACTATTAAGAACATCACAAGGCATCTAACCAGATGCATGAACAATTCACAGGTGGCGAGCGAGGTGGCAGCCCGGGCCACACAAAGGTACAACCTCCCCGATGAGATTCAAGGCAACTTTCAGGACTGGTTGTCACACCAAATCTTTACTCTGCCAGGCCCTGTCGCGGACCCAGGCCTCGGTCATGGGAGGGTGAATGGCTGGGGATGTGGCGGATGCAGTGACGGCGCGGTGAGCCGGGCCAACCAAAGCGGCAAAGCGACGATCGAGAACCATATCCTAGCGACCCACCAGACTGGGGAAGTCGTTGTAGTATAATGGTTACCCGTAGCCATCCAACTATAATCGGGCGAAGTCCTTAATTCCTTGCAGTAAGTCCCAGTCTCTGACAGACGTTATTAGGACTGGTGAACACATCCCTAACAACTGAATCATAAGATGTGGTAAAAGCTTGCCCTTCTTAACTATCTATGCCCCCCCACCTTGGTGGTGTTGGTTGTGTTGCGTACCTAGCTGGGGTGTTGAGGAAGAAAGGAGGCGCACGGAAGGGTTGGGGTTATGTGCAGGGGACGCAACGACACAACCAACTCGGCGATCCGGGAAATCAACCCTCAATCCATGGGACAGTAAGGTTTGTAGTCCTCATACAGTGAGTTAAGAGGCACATTGTTAAAGGCAACCTAGTAGTGGCACGTTGAAAGATGTGCTCCGTACTCCAGATGCTGTCTCGGCGGGACAAAAATCTGTATGTACGCATGGATGACCTAGCTCGGCAAGTCCTACAAGCCGAGCAGGCTTCTGGCCACTGTGTGGCCGCACCCCAGACGTTAAGCGTAAACAACAACAACGAGAGGCCTCCCTGATCACAAGGCCGCCCGGAACCAATGAGGTTCTGGAACTTTTAGGACACGAGAAGGGGCCGGCCGGCTTTACCATACGCATTCGGTGGTGAGAAATAATTGGTGTGGACCTGGATGGCCTGTCGAGAAACGGAGCGAGTTGTCGATAGCGGAACGGAAGAGGTTAGAAAACATGGGGAAGCTCGCATCGTCCCACCCCCCGCGGGACCCGATGGAGCGTTGACTATGCTCACGTGAGGGGCTTCATGCAAGGGATCGTCGTTTCTTTCCGCATCAATCTCCGTGTGGAAATTTGGACCGACGAGGGATGGAACAATGACGGTTGCCATGTTGTAACTCGCTGACCATGTGGCCGTGCTTGTAAGTACGTGTCTTGCGGCCAGTTCAGCGGTGAAGAAAGCAGTTCGACTGTCATTGCAGCCAGTGTCGTTTGGACGCAGGCCAGTTGAGCCTCCGGATGCAAGAGGGTTGCTCTCGCTTCTCACCCCCCGCAGACGACCAGATTGCCGGAATTGGGTGGGGACAAATTGGGGGGATTTGGGATCGTGGGATCGTGCACCTTCCGAGCGACCAAAGAAACGAGTGCAAAGGATCGGCCACGATTGGGCAAGGCTTGCATGCAGAAAATCGGTCGGAATTTGCCCCTGCAGCTTTTCTCGAAGAGCGGGGGTGGATGTTATTGGCGGCAAGGGCAAGCGCTATCTGAGCTTTTGCCCGAGCGTGGGGGTCAAGCCGACTGGGAAGCTTCGCCTGATGGTGACCCGGCCTCAGCCGGCTTTGTGCTTTCCAAGTTTGCCCTCTTGCCGTTTGTGCAACATTTCCCTGGTTTCCCCTCGGGCCTTGGAACTTTCTCCATTTCCAATTGCCGAATTTACTTCCGATCATCAGGAAGCGTCACGAGCGCGTTAAATTATTATTCAAGAATTCCATCATGTTAATGTTAGTAGCACCAAGCTATCTTCGCCCGTACTTCGATTTACCCTTTTCATTGTATGGCGTCAGATAAGGTCATTGCTTTGGGCGGTTGACAACTGAAACGATATTGCCAAGTGGTTTCGCCCCCTATTTGTCGGTGAGGGTATGCACGGTGTACCCCGGGGCACAGCGGTCAGTCAGCGTGGCTTGTATGCGCATGTGTGATATACCGGGAGCGTTCCCGTGATCACATCAGACGCTCAACTGGCCCGAAACATGCCACGCTATTCCTGTGGCGCAATTTCCATCTGCCTTTTGCATGAAGGCGCTTCGGATGCTCCCCGGTGGCTGCATACGTGCTTGATCTGAACCCCCACGCCGGCCAAACGGGCAACTGAGGAACACGCCCCCTTCTGCTGGAGGTCGTTACCCGGTGCAAGGACAGAGCCTCATCCGGCGTGTCTGGTCAGCGGCCGCTTGCTGATCCTTGTTTTCACTCATGGTTATAAGACGGGGTGGTGTCCTTCCAATGCTCTTTCCGTTGTTGTACTCGTACACCTGACTTCTTATCCACACCGTCCTTTTCCTGTCAACTTCTTTTTGTTTGACGTTAACGGTCCCTGAGTTCACTTCATGATTGTTTCAATCCCGCGTCGGGATTCATCGCCACCAAACAGTGCCCCTTTTCAATTATCTGCTTTTCCAGAGTGCAGACTCCAGACGACACACATCATCACCGACCACATACCACGACAATGGAGGCACCACAGCTCCCCACCACCCCAACCACACCCACCCACCCCCTCTCCTCCAACTCACCTCAACTCCAGTTCCAGTCCCAGACCCACCAACCCCCCGCGCCACTCCCCCGCGGCGTCTACGTCCCCATGCCCGCCTTCTTCCACCCCTCCGACAGCGACCCCACCAACCCCAACCCCAACGACAGCGGCATCGACATCGCCGCCACCCAGCGGCACACCGCCAGGCTCCTGGCCGCGGGCGTAGCCGGGCTGGTGGTGCACGGGTCCAACGGCGAGGCGGTGCACCTGTCGCGGCGGGAGCGGCGGGCGGCGCTCGAGGCCGTGGCCGATGCCGTGCGCCACGACGCCGACTACGCCCACGCGCCCCTGCCGCTGATCGCGGGGTGCTCGGCCATGTCGGTGCGGGAGACGGTCGAGCTGTGTCGCGAGGCCAAGGAGGCCGGCGCCACGCATGCGCTGGTGCTGCCGCCGGGGTATTATCGCGGGTTGATGGATGCGGAGGGGCTGGCGGCGTATTTTGAGAGGGTGGTTGAGAGGAGTCCGCTGCCTGTGGTGGTGTATAATTTTCCGGCGGCGGCGAATGGGGTGGATTTGGATTCGGATGTGTTGTTGAGGTTGGCGCGGATTCCAAGGATTGTGGGGGTCAAGCTGACGTGTGGGAATACGGGCAAGTTGGCGAGGCTGGTGGAGGGGGCGCCCAAGGTGAGGGGGGGCAGGGATGATTTCTTTGTGGGAGGGGGCAGTGCCGACTTTATCCTCCAGGGATTGGTGGTGGGTGCCCATGGGACGATTAGCGGGTTTGCCAACCTCGCGCCGAGGGCGTGCGTGAGGATCGGGGAGCTGTTTGAACAGGGCAAGCTGAAGGAGGCGAGGGAGCTGCAGCATGAGGTCGCGAAGGGGGATTGGTTAGCCATCCGGTATGGCTTTGTTGGCGTCAAAGCGGCGATGCCCATCTTCCACGGTCCGGGCGAGGCGTTGTGTGCGGTGCCCAGGCTGCCGTTCAAGCGGCTGGAAGAGGATGGCCAGGCCGTGAGGGAGATACGAGAAGGGATGGCGGGTGTGTTGGAGATTGAGAAGAAGCTGGCTGCGGATGCAGCAGGGAAACGGCAACACTAGACTCTTTGAGTATTGTTGGTATTATTGCTACTAGACAGACCTCACAGCGCAAGCTATCTCTTTTTTGTCCCAAGACTGGGGCTCTCTGAATCATTGGCTCATTGATGAGGTGTATCCCTTTGTGTGCCTCGCGACCAAAGGATTGACTTGAGTAAAGGCTGGCTTGAGATTTCCATTTACTTCTGTCGACTTTCAAAGATGACTGGTACTCTTAGAGGGCAATTGATAGAGAAAAGGGGGGTAGCATTGGCTCTGAAATCTTAAACCAGTGTATGATATTAATGTGTGAGATGGTTTCCCGAAAATCAAGTAGTTATCCGTTTCAAAGTATTCATTGACTATCGGTATACTGTTGTAACATCTTCACCTACACCGCTCGTCGAGATGCTCCCTCATTCGCCGTCCATCCATTGATCGTCGAAGCATACAAAGCTGCATATAGGTCCTCGGCAAAACATATCATAATGTCTTTGCCAAAGCCACGATATGAACACCAATGCCCACGTACCAGTCCGCATCATACAACACAACATGTCTGCCCAAGGGTACTCACCCCCCTTTACCACCTCTCCCTCCCAAACTGGGTAGTCACCACCAACCAACCAACTCAAACAAACAAGAAACAAAACCCCAAGCTCCCAACCAAAAGCCAAACCATCCCACGTCAGACCAGCGTCACACAACCACAGCCTTACGCACCCCCCACGCCCGCGGACCATCCCGCGGATCACACCCTGCAGCCGGCCGGGTGGGTGTGACGCACAGACGGGGCGAACGCCACGCGCCACCACACGCTCCCTCACCGAAACATAAAAGCAACTCTGGTGTAGTTTGCATCCGCCCTCCCCCCTGCCTGTCTCTCTTCCCCTTTCGCCCCCATCCCATCCCCCCAACACGGCCGGCTTCCGGCGGCGTCTGCACTGGCGGGTTTCGGTTCGGAGTGAGGCTGACCCCTGTCTCGCCATGCGGCATGCCGCCCGACCGTCAGGCCGCCATGAAACCCCCTGACCGCCGCTTGCCCGATGGGTGGCGTGGGGGTCGGAGGGTTTGGGAGTGGCGCCATTTCTGGACGGACAATTTCCTGGTAGGATCGGGAGTGGTGCCGGGGGGGAGGGGGGCTTGTGGATGGTGGAAGGGGGGTTTTGTACAGTTGTTTCTTTTACAGATCGGGCAACTTGTGGCTTCGTGGCTGCTACATGATCATTTTGCGGTGTTTATCAAAAGGTTTGGAACGTAACTACGCCTATATTTGGCGCATGGCATGGTTTCATTATCTCTCCGCTAGTTTTTATCACTCCCTCCGCTAGTTTTTGTTTTCTCAGCCGGGCACCCTAGAGGCGGCGTCTCGCCCAACGGCTGTAGCCTTCACCCCACCGATCCACTTGCGCTCGAGAGGAGCGGGCGCTTGGGAAGGTTCCTCAAGGGCGCCGTGGGATGGCTGCTGACCTGCTGCCCTCCAATGGATGTGGCGACGGCGAGAACGCCGTGCTTATCCCGAGCCCTAACTGCCGACGCGGGGGTCCGACGGTGCCACGCAGAAAGGAGGCTGGCTGATGGGCAACACTCCTGGAGTTGAAGCCACTAAGTCATCGCTCAGTTCATCCACCCGCTTACTTCTCGTGGATAGTTGTACATGACCTTCTGACATGCTGGCCTTTCCCCGTAGGCCATCCGTAGCGGCTGCCGCACAGCGAGCCCAGCAGCATCCACGATAGCAACATCGGGGGGTCCTTGGCGGTCACCAGGTAGGTGGCTATGCTCCTTGGTCGCATCCAGAGGGTGTCACTGCCCCCTGCGATTGTGTGTGGTTACTACTTCGCCGATTCGCTTCACGGTCACCCGAAATTTTGCTTGTATCGCGCGAGCATGCTGTCAAACGACCCAAAGATTGGTGTCCCCGTCGCTTTTGTGTCGTTGTTCGCGATGCCCCCCACGCTCTCCGTCACGAAAAAGGTCTCATCAGATGGATCAGCATCGCTCCCAATGTCGGCGGCGGCCCGCCCAGTTTGCTCGTTGATGCCGCCCTCAAAGGCTTCCACGACGCTGGAATACTTGGCACCCGCCAAATACTGCTGCAGCGTTTGTTGAGCCTTCCTTTGGGGCTTGAGTAAGCCGGCTTTCTTCTTCTCGTACCGATTGATCAGGGTCTGATCTTGGACGTTCTCTGCTGGCTCCCACGTGGGATTCTGGTCTTCAGGCCAGTCTCCTTCCCAGAGGACAAGGTATCTGTGCACCTTGACCCCTTGTTCGATGAACCATTGGTCATCGAGCAAATCCTTCACCTCCCACTCGTCGGTGACAGGTTCACCTTGCGGCTCGACTTTTTGTTTCTTCGGTTTCCGCTGCTTTTTCCCGTTGGACGCTGGTTCCTTGCGCTTCCTCGCCGATGAATCGGAAGCAATAGTGGAATATGCTGCGGCGCTCGGGGTCGAAAGCCGCGAGGCGGGATCTTTCGGATGGCGGTTCGCCATACCAGATCCAGACCCGGTGTTGGACGTTAGTTTAGTTTGTGACTGCACAGCGGGTAACCACGGCGTTCTGCTGCCCTGGGCATGGCCGTCTTGGCCGTGAGGCTTCGGGGATTCGTCGGAGCGCCTGCGCTGGCCGAACGCATGCGCCCAGGCCGGGTGTAACCCTCCGAATTTGGGAGTGTCCTGTTGTGGAGGAGCGGCTGGCGCAGAGGAGCCGGAAGAGCCAGTTTTCAGAGGTGTGGTCTTGGACCTGACATGGAAGGAATCGTTGACAGCCTGCGTCAGACCACCAGGTCGGGGCGGAGTCTCTGCGACGGGGGCGTCGTAATGCAGCGCGAGCGGGTCCTCGGACTCTGTGTCTACCATGTCGTCCTCGGACCCAACATGCCTAAACCCGTATTGTTCATCTAGTTGACGGGCGATAGCAGCATCGTCCGACTCTCCATTGCTGGTATACTCAAACCCTTCCTCGTCTAGCAGGCGGCCGAGCTTTCGCTTCTGTGGCGTGGACAAGGATGGCCCAGCAACCTGTTGGGCCAGAAGCCGCGTCTCCTCCGCTGAACCCACCAGCGGCATGCCGAAATCCTCCATAGGGATCTTAGGGGGCCGTCCGGGCTTCTTTTTGATAGGAGCGGCCTGCTGTTTCTCGCGCAACTGGCGTGCCTGCTCCTGCTTTTTGTCCAGATTCCGGTACTCCCAGTCCTCAAGCTCCCGCGGCGAGACATAATCCAGCACCTTGTGGCAAGGTATTAGGAGTTTAACCGCCGGTAGATCGGTGAAACCGACATGGTAGTGGACTAGGCGTCGGGCGGTTGTGGTCATGTCCTTGTCGGTGGGGAGGATGAACTGATCGATAATGTACCCGGTTGAATCTCGCGGCGGGGTCAAGGCGATTCGAGGCGGGGGAGGCCCGGAGCCTGGGACATATTTTCGGATTGCGTGAATTGGTACCTCAATTGTCGTTTTACGACCTGTCGGGGGTGGTGTACCGGCCATGGTGTGGGCTGCTGTTTGGGTTCTCGATGTTGGCAGCGCGACGCGCCCGAGATGCGCGGCGCGTCTCAGCGGCCGCCAGACGAAGGAATAGGAAACGAAAAAAATACGGCGAAATGGGCCATGGATTTAGTTATAGAATCAGGCCAGAGAGACCATGCTCTCGCGCCGTGACGGCGTTAAATTAAACCGGTGTCTCCGTGAGAGGTGAAGTTGTGTCGTCGATCTTGAGCTCGCCAAGTAGGCCGGGGATAACCAAGCCATTGCCCCAGGTCGCTTCGCCTTGGCAACCAGTCGCTTGGTAGACATACTGTGGAGCTTTACCTCTCCCGACAACGAATCTGTTCGACTAAATTATGAATTGAATGTGAAGGAGCTCCAAAGTTTATTTCATATTCTAATTTATTGTTACAGTATGGCGGTCATCCGTGACCGTCTGACCATAACCGGGGTCAAGTTTTTGGCTCCTCACGGTAAGTCCAAATTTCTTACCGCCGTTATTGGGAGACAACTGTCGTAAACATCTGCATGTGCATCATCTGCATGTGCATCATAGCTTGTGGTAAAGCTTGTTTCTGCTAAACTACGGCTATCCCGCGGTCCCCTTTTACCAAGTGGCGGGCATGTGGACCGGCCTGCTGGTGGGCTGTCTGTTACCGCCCGGCGGTCAGCGAAGACCGCTTGAGGGATGGCGCCCTGACGGTAATTGACCGTCAGGTCGTGACATTTATATTCTTTTCCCATTCTTTGATATTGATCAACTGCTGGTTCTTTTTTATTTTGGTTACAATTCTGTACAGTTTAGTTGACAACGCCGTCCTTTCCATCCGTGTATCCAGCTAGCTTGATTCTGTTTTCTTCAAAACTAATATCACAGACGGTTAAAATAGCCGTTGTAGAACCACAGGCAAGAAGTAAGATGGCACCAACAAAAGACTGGAACTCTTATCGGTTCGTTATCGCCCAAGCTGCTGAATCGGCATCTTGGCGCCTGAGGCTTGGAAAATCGAAGCGCTGATTGATCCCCACCACAGCTCTGGCATCCATCATCACAGGTGCAAGAGCAACTTGCCTCGAACAAGCAATTGACTTGCTCGACACTGTCGATAAAATACCCCTCTCCACTCACTCCGATGTTCAACTTTTCCGTTTGATCGACCGCACCGAATTATCTGAACTGCACCACAACCCCACCAGGCTCGACCGCGGCACACCACCCCTCCATCATGTTCGCTTCCACTGCAACGACCATGTTTCGTGCGGGCGCTGGTCGCTCTGCAAACGCCCTGCAGCCCACCCTCCTGCGAAACGTTGCCTGCCCATACGCCGCGGGCCTAACCGCATCCCCCTTCTCGATGACCACCCCCGCTCCCAAGCAACCACAGGCCCGCCCGCTCTCAACCAGGCCGACGCCCTCCTCCCTCCTCGTCAAGTACCGCGTCGCCCAACCCCCGCGCCGCAACACCTCTAGCCACCACCACCCAACCCAAGCGGCAGCCACCCCGGACGCCGCGGCCGACGCCAACGCGGCCCAGACAGCGGCCAAGGCGGCGGCGACGGCGCACCCGGAGCAGGCGGTGCTGGACTGGAACAGCTTCTTCCAGCTGCGCAAGGCGCGGCGCCGATGGCAGTCCGGGTTCAGCGTGGTGGGCGCGCTGGGGAGCGGGTCGTCGGGGGCGCTGGTGCTGAGCTCGGGCATGGCGGACGGCCTGGTGAGCCAGATCCCGCTGGATCCGCTCATCACGCTCGGGCTCATGACCATGAGCTGCGCGGCGCTGGGGTGGCTGGTCGGGCCCAGCCTCGGCTCGGCCGTCTTCAACGCGCTCAAGAGCAAGTATAAGGGCCCCATGGCCGTCAAGGAGAGCGAGTTCTTTGCGCGCATCAAGAAGCATCGTGTGGATCCGAGCGCGAGCTCCGTCCGGAATCCTGGTGGGTGGTTTTGTTGTTTTACTCTTTCCGGGGCTTTGGATGTGGCTGACCAATTTCAGTGCCTGACTTTTACGGCGAAAAGATCTCGAGCGTGGCCGGCTACAGGCAATGGCTGAGGGACCAGAGATCGTTCAACAAGAAGAAGGGAGGGTTTGTATGAGCAGCCGCCCAAGCGGCGGCAGTTGTCTTGATAAGTGAGGGTGTACTGTGACACTGACGGCTCGGAGGATGCATGATAGCCGGCATCAGTATTATCCAGTTCATAACGGTTCTTATCTGTTCTTCTGGAGTTCGCGGCTTCTCGGTTGTAACATAGTCAACAGGACATCTCCAAGCAACCAGCGAAAGTCTCCTCTTGGTCTACATCACTCGTATCTCGTTGTACTAAACAGGCCGATACCCTGTTCTTGCTAGATTATCCATCCCGAGATCATATATACGGAAACGCAGGATCGACCTCCTCCTTCCAAGCCTTCATACCCCCCATAATATCCACGATCCTCCTCTTGCCTCTGTTGTCCAACCCAAGCTCTTTCAGCTTCTCCACCGCCTCCTGCGAATCGATCCCGGTCCGACAGACCACAAAAATCGGTTTATCTGACTCCCCTGATTCTGCCGGCAGGATCTCACTGGCCGGGCTTCCATCCCGCTTGATCGCGGCCGCTTTCATCAAGAACTTCGAAAACGGGGTATTCACCGCGCCCTCGATGCTCCCAAACGAGAAGTGCTCCTTCTCCCGCGTATCGATGAGGATATGCTCCGATAGTTCGCCGCTTTCCTTCGCCAGGTGGTACGCGGCCGCGGTGATGCGCTCTTCCGGCGGGAGATTGACGCTCGACGTCGGCACGCTGCAGAACTGCACGTAGTCGGGAACGCCGGCCTTGATGCCCTCCAGCGTCAGCGTCGAGTTCTCGCCGCACGCAAAACAATTCCGCTTGCGCCCGCCCATCTTGAGCGCGCGGAAGGAATACGGGCCGACGGCGCTGTCGAGGTCGTATGTGTAGATGAGCAGAGTTGGTTGTTGGAGGTTTCGTTCTGGGGTGTTGGTGTTGTCCGTGTCCGCCTCGGGCGGGATGTGTAGTGCGGACGCGAGGATCTTGATGGCTTCGCCTGCTTGGGCCACGCCCATCATGCCAACTACCGGGCCCATGATTCCGGCTTCGCCGCAGGATACCATGGAACTAGGTGGCGGCGGCTTTCGGAAGCAACACCTGTAGCAGGGGGCGTACTTGCCGTCGACTAGGCCCTGAGGTGTCGGGGGGCAGTTCAGTACGATGAGCTGGCCGGACTTCTGGACCGCTGCGGCGGAGACGAGAGGCTTGCCGAGAAGCACGCAGATATCGGATATTAAATATCGAGTTATGGGGTTGTCGGTGCAGTCCATGACGAGATCATACTGTGAGATAATGTCGGCGGCGTTTTGGGGAGTAAGCTGGTAGGGATAAGGGACGTAAGTAGGGAGGGGGTTCAAGCCCTCGAGGTGTTGGATTAGACTGTTGACTTTCTTCATACCGATGCGGGCGGTGCTGTGGCCAACTTGACGGTGAAGATTCGAGGCCTCGGCCACATCGCCATCAACAATACCGATGGTCCCTATCCCCGCGCCGGCGATATATTGAGCGGCCGGGCAGCCAAGCCCACCGGCTCCGATTATGAGCACTCGTGAGTTGATGAGGCGGAGTTGACCTAAGAATGTTAGTTACCCACTTCCCAACATCCATGCCCCCATGTCTTACCCTCTTTGCCCATTCCAGGAACGATCATCTGACGAGAATATCTGTCAAACTCCTCGTCCTGGAGGCGGCGGCTGCCCCCATTTGCTCCACTTTCTTGATGCTTTGCGGCCGTTTCTTGGCCGTTGATGGACGGTTGGGATTTCAGATCCGCCTCTATTGCTTCACTTCCCACCATTGTGATAGAAAAGTATGTAACCTGAAACTGAAGATATTCTGCTTTTCTTCTCGTTGCACACTCCCAATCCCAACCCTCTTCTCTCGCCCCCGGACCTGCTCAGTTATGACGAGAACGAGCGTATGGGTTTAAATCACCAATCCTGAGCCAATGGCGTCAATGCCCGTCATGAAGCTTTGGAAACGCTTGCTCGCAGAAAAAAATCCGATATTCCGATTGTGCCGCTGTAGGGCTGAGATGAAGTGCCCCTCCCCCACCATCATCGAGATCCTGGGCCGTCTTGGCGAGCAGCCGAGTTCCCACCAAGTGGGTCTGCTAGGAAAGCGGTGAGACTCTGCCCCACTAAAAAGTCCAATCGCCAGGACACATCCCGATCCCAGCGCATCGAATGCGAACTTGAAGCTCCCCATTCCTCGACCACAACGCCCCCGAGCCTCTCCTAACGCATTTTTCGGTCGTGCCCCTGAACAAACGTCAAGCGACACCAACCCCAACTACGACAATGGTACACCCCTCCCCCCTCCCCACCCCCGCTCCGCCCCCCCACCTCTCTCCCAAACTAACAACCGCCTTCCCCCCCCTTTCACAGGCCCCAACAGCCCCCGCCCCCTCCAAGCGCCTCACCGCACGCCAAAAAGCGCGCGCCCGCCTCGCCGACCCCCTCCTCCCGCGCAAGCTCCACCGCGAAAACAACGTCGTCTCGGACCAATTCATCGACTCGAAGCGCGACAAGCGACTGATCAAACACTCGTCCTTCCTCTCGCGCGTGGCCAAGTCCTCAGGCAAAGCCACCACCAAGAAGCGGCGGCGGCCCTCCAAGAAGCTGGTGACGACGCTCGAGTCGCTGGGCGACGCGCTGGAGGACATCCAGGCCGACATCGAGGAGGAGGATGCGGGCGCCATGGACGCGGAGCAGGCGCGGCAGGGCAAGGTGCGGCACAAGAGCTTGAAGAGCCGGCCTGGGGCGCTGAAGCGCAAGGAGAGGTTGGTCAAAGGGGAGATGGAGCGGTTTGGGAGGAGTTTGGCGCAGTTGGCGAATATCTCGGCCGCTGCGGCGCCTGTGTTAGGGACGGCGGCCGGGGCTGGGGCTGCGGCTGCTGGGAGTGGGAGTGGGAGTGCGGGGCAGGAGAAGATGGATATGGAGGGGGAGACACAGACAGCGGCGCCGGCCCAGCCTGCGGCTACGTCGGGTCGATGGGCGGCGTTGCGGGGGTTTATTTCTGCGACGATGGAGCAGAACCCGGCGTTTCTAAACAAGACGTGAATACCAAAGGCGCATTACCAAGCAGCGACCAGTTACACTGAAACATTGACGGGGATGAATCGGTGTTGCCGACTTTCGACAGGGGGATTGAGATTGTATCAAGACTGTGCTAGGAGCGCAAACGTAGCAGGACATTGTTGCCCTCTCCTCCCGCTGCCAGCTGGGTATTACTCCGTATCATAAACCGCTGCCTCGACCTTGGGTAGCCATAATTTGATACCAGCCAAAGAACCTCCATCAGACCCAGGGGTACTTAACCCAGTCAACTCCCAAACTCCTTCAATCGTAAATGCCACCCTGATAGGCTCCAACACCAGCCGACTCTTGGTGCCCGTCCAAATCTTGCCCGACGCATATAAAAAAGAAACAGAATATCTCGAACGCCGCCCAATTGTAGCCCATTTTTCGTAACGCCCTCTCACAGAATTACTAGTCGATGCGCGGTGGCTCGTTGGACGAACTGGCAAATGGGCTGGCGCTCCGGCGTCTTTCGCCCTCCTTCCGTAATGACTCAACAATTCGCAGCATTTCTTTCCTCCCGCCGCGGCTGTCAACCATCTTCCCCGCCATCGACATTGACACCTTTTCATGAGCGTTCGCGTTGAGAAGGCGCTTGATCAGCAGGTGTCTCATCAATATGCAGACAAAGACGCCACAGTCTTTGCTATTTTCCTGCTGGGGAGTGTCTTCTAGCTGATGAAACCGCAGGGGGAGACCCAGCACAATGCTGAGGCGATCTACTCCCCTCTTCGCGGCCGAGTAGTTAGAGCCTCCGAGGGAGTCGTAATGGAATGCTACCCGGTCGATCACGGACACAAGGAGAAGGGACCAATGGCTCCCGCTGTCGGCGTTCCAACGGTCGCGGCTGTCACTTATTGGCAGGAAGATATGTGTGACCTTACGGAAGTCGGGCAAGGCGGAAGCGTCGTTTTTGAGGTCGGTCGTCTGCATCAAGAGATGAGAGACCACGGGACGAAGGAGGATAATCCGGGCCTGCGGATATTTGGGCAAGACTTCTCGCTCAAGCCACCTGGCGCGTGTCAGATACTGGAAAACCGAGGGTCGGGGATTCCAACATACTCTTCCCAGAACGCGATGGCCTATAACACCGTTAGTATGCGAGCGAAGTTGACAAGACAGAAAGGTTTGCGCATACACTATCCGTCAGCCAATCGTGCTTGAGTGCCTTGATGTCTTCTGTGTCAACTAGAAAGAGGAGTCAGTCAGCTCATTAAAAAAGACCAAGCCATTGTTCCAGCACATACGGCGAATATCATGGTCTGGCGGAAACAGTTGTCAGTGTGCGAGACGGCACGAAATGTGGTCGCAGCGAACTTACAGGACAGGTACGGCTTCGGAGAGGACATGCCGAGCTATTCAGGAATCAGTTGAGGTTCTAGGTAAATAGACCATTGTAACAACCATCCACCAGGCCGCAGCTTAAGGGACAAATCCAATATCATTGCGAGTAACACCAAAGTCCAAGCGGCCATCTTCCAGCCATAAAGGCTTAAAGCCCTCTCCTTTCACCACTTTCTAGCCCGTGAGATATCAGCCACCCAGAGTAGAGAAAGTATTCGTGCTTACACTATCTCCCAAGTGCCTGACCATACTCTGCCGGAAACGCATCTTGTCGGCGGTCGAGTAACGGGGTTCGGAGATGAAGATCGGCGCGTCGCGGAAGGGAAATCCTGACAGGAATTGGCTGTCACGTCGGTTGGGATTGGCAGCAGAGCCGGAAGGGCCGGCGTATAGGGTAGGGTAATATAGTGGCAGTCGCGGAAGACGCGGAGGAGAGATTCGAATTCGACTTTTCGGGGGCTTTCAGCAAAGGCGGCTTCGCTGGTCGACGATGTTGGAAGTAAAAGAGGGATGTGGCGGATGATCGGGTACCGGAAATATGGAATGAAATGGGCAAGAGCGGTCGAGCGCCGCTTTGACGCTGTCGTCGACAGCCAGTTCGGACGACTTGGCGGGGGGAGACGGGTGTTCACAAGCGTGGCGGCAGAACCTAAAGCGGGAGGAAAAGCGAGGCTTTCTAGGCCGTGGAGTCTGGCGGCCCCGCAGTGGTGCCAGTGCCAGCGCTCAACGCACACCCTCGCATTGTGTGGCTGCGCTCTGCACGGCCAGTTTGGGCGAAAACTGCTCCAAGCGACAATTGCACGGGACAAAACGGAATCACCAAAGGTTAAAACTCCTAACAATGGCATATGCATGTACTTTCATATGATAGTTACCAGACAGATCCGTCATATTGATCTTCCGTCCGAGCAAGAGGATGATATCAATTCTAAATCGACGTCACCGAATCCTCCCAAACCCCGGCGTCGCACCCGACGCCTCGGCCAGAACCCATCAGGTCCATTGGCTGCGCCTGCGCCAAGACGCCTCGCTCCGGAGTGCAGATGGTGGGTGGGCAGGTGGTTGCGCTGGCCCGGCAGTGAGACGTCACCTCTCACGCAACACACGCAACAAGGTTTGGACGACCCATTCTCGGAGAGGCGTTGTCGGTAGTATTATTCAAGCCTGTTTATGGCTAGGGGTCTCGAAGCTTGCAGTTGACAATGCATAATACGCTGATCGCGTGGCGGCTACCGAGGCGCTCAACGCTGCCATGCATGATGCGAGGAGGTTGTTGCTGCTTCGTTGGCGTGTGGAAATAACTACCTGTGATCAAGTAGGTGAGCTGGGTGAGCCGGGTGAGCGCGGGCCGTCGATAGCGGGGGTTGTGGGGACTTGGCGGGGAAGACCTGGGAGTCGTGATAGCCCATGGGTTTGGGCTTTCCTATTTCTGCTAATTCGTGTAACAATGTCCTGCGCAGGCAGAAAGATATCCCTCCGCGTGCCAGGAAGCGGCACCTGTGCAGTCCAACATCCAACGGCCATGCTGCAGAGGACGCAGAGAACAAGAGATGCGTGGATAATCAGTGCAGTGCGCTCGCAGCCACCCACATCTTGTTGACATTTGACTTTTGACATTTTGACCCACAGGAAGGTTTTAACCCCTTTGAAGCCACGAGACGCCTCCTGCATCCCCATCCATAGCAGCATTGAGAGCAGTCAACCCAGCATTGTCCCATTGCATCCCACAAGCTAGCTTCATGTCCTCCGTCGTCCGGTAGCCGCAAAGTTGAAAGAACTTGGAAGGGAGTGTTGACGGGGCCGAGACTTAAATCGGAACGGCCGCCGACAATTGTGTACAGTCTCATGCAGATATGGGGTGCTCCGAGTTGGGTCTTGGACCGTTGGTTCATCCTGGTATTGTTGCACGAACGTGGTTCGTTGGAACTTGATCCATCGGGAATCTGGGGCCAATACCACGACGCCTCCCACGGCCGCTGGTACCCAATCCCAACACTTCCAGCTCCTGCCCACAACGCCGTCAACTTCTGACGTTCCTTTGCCCTCCTACTCTTCCTCTCCAGCCAGAGGATCTCTTTTAACCTTCCTGGCAACGACCTCGTGGGCTCTGGCAACAACCTTGGCCCCGATGATGAAACGGCGCATCGGGCGCGGCGACCGCCAGCCGTCGCGTGGGACCTCACCCAAGGATCGTACTATCATAGCAGAGGATCACCGCCTTCTAGGACGGATCCGCGGCCGAGTTGGTCTTTGCCAACTCCATCGTCACAGCCACCAGGTCCTGTTTCGGAACCGCCAGCTCTGATGCTGGTGGCTTCGACCTGTTCCTATTTTCATTGCGAAACAAGCGAAAAGGCAAGGAGAGCACACAGAGAGGAAGCGTGTTTGGGCACGGATTCTGCGACCTGTTTCGTGATACCGTCGTTGTCGGTGTTAGTTGGGGTGATCTGATAGTGTGTTAATATTATTCCACACTAACCACAAAGCTATAAAGCTCTTGATATCCTGCCTTTCGAGTCTGATTCTTTTCTTCCATCATCATCACCATCAACCTCGCCTCCAACTCATCTTTAAAAGCTTTCAGAATCACCATCGTCTAACACATTCATCTCGCCGGCCGAGAACTGTTCCACTGACGGTTCGTATTCTTGATCTTGACCCTGTCTCCCTTCCGTCATCCGCGCCAGAGTGGTTAAAAGTCTAAACTAATTCGGCCCAGTTCAATCGCGCTTTCTATCTCGATACACGACAACCGTCCCAACGTGGTATTTTCCCGCCTACAACTCCACCATGTCTCAGTCTCTTAAGTGCCCGAAGTGCGGCCGAAGCCTGGCCGCTTCAAATGGAGGCTGGGTTTGCGCCTGTCGTTTTACGATCTCCAACTGGGATGGAAGCGTGGGTAAAGGCAATGATGGACTGTACTGGCACTACGCCCGCGGTCGCTGGACGAGCTCTACTTGAGATCACTTTAGGAAGTTGATGATAGCTTTGGAATCTAAAGATGGGCATGGAGCTGGCCTCCCCCCGCCGTCGTCCCTCAATTGAGACGCTACACTTTCCAATTATTCAGCCGTTGCTCCGATTCCCGCTTCAAGTTCTGGGCTTTCCAGCACAGCCTCAGAGTGCCACGTACCGATACAAGAACATCGTGTGGCACACCCGAAGAAGTGGTCTTGATCAAGTTGACTGGGAGATCAAAACAGGGGGTGGGTTGGTGACAAGCGATATGCCCGCCGGCGCGCCGGTCCTTCTACTGTTATCTCCAAAGAAAACTGTGCGGTATAAGCCATATAAAAACCTCCATCTACCCTTCGAAAGCCACAATACGAATCCATCCTGTTACAAAAGAAAGGAGGCCCTTTACCGGTCTCCGGACCCTCTAGCTCTTTTCTATTATGTCTAGCTTTAGCCGTCGAGCTAGACTATACTCTAGTAGCCGGTCAGAATCCATTAGACAACCAGGAACATTCGGCACAAGCCTGGTGGGCAAGGGGAGAGGTGGTGTTGACAAAGAGAGAGGCCACCGACGTTGCCGATCAATTAGTCCGACTCCTAGGTTGTTTCGTGTGGCCTGGTACCTGGAGCCGTGGTTCGGCCGTTTTAGTGTTAGCTTGCGTTCAATAGGTCGGATATGGTGGACAATCGGGGGTTGTTCATCGAAAGTAAGTGGATTACTTCGGATGTTTTCGTTTCTATTTTGGATGCATATTGGAGATAGCGGACTGTGTTTCCTTCAGGTTGCGTTTGGAAAGCCCAGCGCTCACAAGCAAGTGATATATGGAGCCTCTCGCTGCACTCGCCGCGCGCGATTTTGGTCGAGAGCCCCGTAGGGATGAGCAACATTTCTGATTCTCGTCTTAGAATGGCGGAGTAGGCGTTGATATCTGTATCTAGCCTCCTAGCTAGCTACCCTTCAGCGTTAGAGCTGATTTGCAATTTTGAAAGAAACGTCTCTTCAGAAAGCTGTAGCCCGAGTGTTGTGATCATCTCCCCCCCAGCCAACTGACTACTTGACTCCTGCAAACATCACTTTTGGTCTCTCCCAAATCCGAGGCCCTCTTTTGGCTGGCAACAAAAACAATCAAAGCTCATCTCACTCTATGAAGTTCATACTTGCAATGCCTGCCATGTCAGAGTCTTCGGACACTATATTAGCGATATTCTCAACCGCTCGGTCAAAGTTCCTCCCCTCTCTACTCTCCTGGAACGTGTTAATGATACCGTCCAAGAGTACCTCTAGAGCTTCGTCGGCATTCCGGGCAGGCCTGTCAGGTGTTTTAGCAGCGATAGAGGGAATTACTCTGGGTTTACCGTCAAGACACTCCCTCATGAATTCATCGACCCGCAGCTCGACTTTGCCCGAGGCTCTAGGAGACTGGTCATCGGATTGGCGGGCCGCTTCAATTAGTTTGAGGCGATAGGTCTCCGCAAGACCATTAAGATCCTCTGAAGGCTCGTTCAAGACCTCATCTCCAACCGGCCCTAGCCTAGCTTGGCACAATGCGACCACAGAATCAAGTTTCTGTGCAAGGACCGGCCGTCTGATTGTATCTGCTGTGTGAGTGACATCCATGTCCCGTAGTTTGCTGATGAGGGTTGCCATATCCTGCCTTGCACCGGAAAAGATCGCGAAAGCCGCGCTGGATGCCTTTCGGAGGGCTGTCGAGATGGCCTTCTTCTCCTGGCTATGCCGGGCACTCAAATTGTTGAGCAAGTTCAAGGCATTTGACTTATAATCCTCGGAGATGTCCCGTATCACCTCCTCTTGGGGTTTCAACGAACGGTGCAGCAGCTGGGGCATAATTAGCTCGTCGATACTGTTTGGGAGAGGAGGAAGACACTCACCGTAACAATTCGGTGAAGAATGGCAGGCGGAGAATCGTCGTCTACCGCTTGCTTCCAAACGTCTTGCGGTCTGGAGCATTCCTCAGCGTTGGATGATAATTCAGGGACGGGAGACAATGACAGCGCCGCCAGTTGTTCATCGGAAAAGAATGCCTCTTGGATTCTCGCTGGCAAGCTATGCTCTATGCCCTGATGGTTGTGCCCTGGTGCATGCAGTTCAAACGAAGGCGGAGGGGTAGAACCGAGCTGTCCATGGTCCACGGATAGCTGTTTAGGTGACTGGTGTTCAGAACTTGGCCCTGTGTTGATCATTATGGCGGTATCTGGAGCATGTTCTGCAATCGTGTTTTCTTCGGTTCTCTCCATGAACATAGGCGAATTAGATCCCACAGCCACGCGGTCTGCATCTGCGTCTGCGCTTTCGCTGGACAGAGTTATGATGTCGTGGTGCTTCAATGGGGTCGGAGAGAGCAAGGCACTTTCTCCCACTGAGTCTGGCAAATGTTTCTGGGGCTCTGGGGAGGGAACGTTGGTGCGGCTATCTCTGCCTTTGAAGGCGAAAACAGGATCACCCTGGCGTGGGCGTTCACTCGGAGCAGACCCAGCCATCGTAAGTACAGCCTCGTCATCCCGACAGTCAGGGGCGCCTAGCGCCTCTCCCTGGTTTGCCTGAGAAGTAGTGTCGATCTTTGCTGGTCCATCCTTGGTCTTGCCTTTCCGAGGACCATCACGACCGAAAGGTTTCTTCGGTACAGACTTGGGCTTGTTGTTTTGAGTGGTGGGTGAGCTTACTCTCTTTTCGGCGATTCGAGCCTTGCGTTGAGGGAGTGATTGACGTCCTTTGGGCGATGGTTGCTTAGCTTGTCGCTTCTTTGGCCGGGGTTCTGATTCTGTGTCTGTAACGTCGCTTAATTCGAAAAGGTCGTCGCCACCCGCCTTCTTTTTTGCCTTGGCCCTGGTCGGAAGAGATCTGGGGGCGGCCTTGACTTGTTTGGACGCCTTTACCGGTCCCTTTTTTGCGTCTGGGGATGTTGTCGTTTTTCTCGATTTTGGGTCGGAAGTTTTCACAGGCGACTCGGATGTCGTCGTTGACTGATTTGGGTTTTTGCGCTTGCTCGTCTTGGGATGTTGAGGCTGCGTCTCTCCCGGAGAGTGGCTGGGTTTAGTTGAGGAGCCTATCTCAGTCACTAGAGCAGGCTGCCTGTTAGCACAAACCTAAATTCCCGGGGACTGGGTAAGAGATTGGGCAGAGATTCTGCCATTGGACTTCGCCGAAAGCTTGTACGTACCCCTCCTCTCCTGGCTCGCGCTTCGTCGCTTTCTCCGGGTAGGGGACAATTCTAGGAAGTCGCCTAGTATCTCGGGTAGGGGGTCCCTCTTCGTGGCCTTTGAGGTGGGGGAGCTGGGAATTGATATGTATTCGAGATCGAGCATATCGCTAACACGAGAAATTGAGGGTGACCTCCTCGGGCTCTCAGTTTCAAACCCATCGATGGCCCAGGTTTCCGCTAAGTCGGCTCGAACGAGGTCGACGGTTGCCGGCTGCGATGAGTAGCGAGTGTATTCCATTGCGAAAGATCAAGAAAGAATGACTAAAGTCGCTCTCTGAATGGGTTGTTTGCATGACACCAGAAGTAGGCGGAAAAGGGGGACTTGCTCGGAAACCGAAGAGGCAGGACAATCTGTCCCGTATGATCTTCCCGGAGAAACCGAAATTTGATTAGATTGGTAAGTCTGAGACGTAGTTGCCTCGCAGCCTAACGCTCGTAAACCAGACACAGCAGGAAGTCGCGGGCCATCCGCTTAGAACACCACTTCGATGTACCCCCGCCGAGAAAGAGGTCAACCCAACATTTAGGTAGTTCACAGAATTTTCAAAGTTTCACTTCTGGCTTGATATGATTGGGACCAACTCAGTCATTTTCCAATCCCCCCAGTCCTCGAAACGACCAAAGTCCCAGGATCCGAGTGTAAAGTTTAGCCCAACCCCGTTTGTACAGGGTTAGGGTCGTGTACCTGCTCTCCAACATGTTCCAAGTGTCAAGCAAGAAGTGCCTAGAACCGGGAAGATACTAGATGAGATGTTACCAATCATGACTGAGTCAATAGGTCAGTTAGTTGGCAGACGTTCGTCTCAATTCATGTGTTGTAGTGGAGAAAGGAGTCGGAGATCACACGGCCGGTCCGGCCGGGAAGGTGCTGAGGATTCTCGGATTTACTCTTTTCGATGGAGCATTTTTTGAGGTGGTTTTTTTAGACCTGTGTCATTGAACTTCTCGATCGGAGAATTCCATCGTAAGACAATCGAACAAAATTACCCTCCTTCTCGGACTCGGCTCAACAGCGGAGGGTTTCTTTGAGTTATTGCTCCATGGAGCTCCGGCCCCACCTGCTGATTGATTACGTGTGCAGGCAGGCTGCCAGGCTGAGAAACGAAGCACAATCGCTCACTCGCCCCGTTGCTGACAGGGAGGGGCGGCCTACTTATAAAACCGCCGATTGATGTCGCCATTCTGCCAGCGGATCACGACGACCACCGCCTCGCCAAACTTCAGCCCTCGGATCCGGACACTGACGTCACACCATGGGTGCTACCAAATCATCAGCCCTTGTCTCAGAACAGGAGGCACACATTCCCAAATCAGAAGACGACACCGCGATTTGGAGTCTTCGCCATATCCAAATCCTTTGGTCCTGGGCCGCTCGACCAAAGCCAGTTCTCCCGAAATATCCCCCGATCTCGTCTATCCCTCACACCTCTGCCGACCGGCTTTCCCAGCCCGACGTCGCTCCGACACCGTTTCCAAGCGAACCGATACTCGCGAAAGCGTTCAATCAAAATGCGCCTGTCAAGCCCAAGACCGTTCTCTATCTCGCTTATGGCTCAAACATGTGTGCCGAGACGTTTCTCGGTATGCGCGGTATCCGTCCGCTGAGCCAAGTCAATGTCGCAGCGCCGTCGCTTGATTTGACGTTTGACCTGCCGGGAATCCCCTACCGCGAGCCGTGCTTCGCCAACACCGCGCTCCGAAAACTCCCCGGAGCGCCGCCGAAATTCCCGCCGGAGCTCCCCCAACCGCCGCAATACGAAGGCAAGGAGGATGGCGCAAATGGTTCAGCACGCCGGCCACCAGTCTGGAACAAGGGGTTATACGGCATAGTCTACGAAGTCACAGCGGAAGACTACGCCAAGATCGTTGCGACGGAGGGCGGCGGCGCAAGCTACCACGACATCCTTGTGCCGTGCCTAGTCCTTCCGCCGAGCGTGCGAGTGCCCGAGAAGCCCACCATTCCCGTGCCTCCGAAGCCCTTCCTCGCGCACACCCTGTACGCGCCGCGCATTCCCGATGTGCCCGACACCGCCAACGGCACGACCAAAAAAGCCGGCGACGACGACGCCCCCACTCCCCCACCCAGCTGGCTCACCCGCCTGCTGACCCCCGTCCGGCGGCCGCAGCCCGACTACGCGCAGCCGTCGGCGCGCTACCTCAAGCTGCTGGCGGACGGCGCGCGCGAGCACGAGCTGCCGCAGGAGTATCAGGCGTACCTGGCGGCGCTACAGCCCTACATGCGGACGACGCCGCGCCAGCGGTGGGGCCAGTTCCTGTTCCTGGGCTTCTGGGCCCCCGCCATCATCTTCCTGATGACGGCCGGGCGGTGGTTCGCCGACGGCCGCGGCCGCTCGCCGCCCTGGTTGCTGACTACGAGCACCGTCTTGTTCAACCTGGTGTGGCTGAGCTATGACTACGTGGGGAAGAAGCTGTTTGGAGATGGGGAGAGGACGGAGGAGGGCCAGGGTGAGGGCGAAACGGAGGCGGTGGCGCCTGTGAAGGCGAGGCGGGGGAGTTTTGCGAGCGGGCTGAGGGGGAAGGGCGAGGTGGCGGATGAGGAGAAGAGGGCTTTGCTGGACGATTATTGATGGGGAGACGGCGAAGGGGAAAAGGTGATGGAGGGGGGGCTCTTTCTTACGCGGATACCATTTTATGACGTTGATTTTGCGGGCGAAATATCCAATTTTAGATGAGTTCTAGATGAGCTCTAGATGAGTTCAATATCATCCATGATATACAGGACGCTTCTTCAAATTGATTAAAGGGCCAATGTCTACATAATCGCTGGTTGTCCCTCGCCCCGTGTGGGACGATGCGACCTCATCAAGGCTAATTAATGCATCTCCATGTACATCGCTCCCAACGCCGCATTTTACTGCCTAAACAGCACAGGAATATCCTTCACTTCAAATGTCCCATCCACAATCCCCTCGACCGCCTTGAATAGGGGGTACTTGTCCTGCACACCGCGCGCCTTCAAGAAGCTCATGACCTCCTTCGTTGTGGAGATACCCTGCAGCTTCTGGCCGTTCAGCTCGGTCCGCTCAACCTCGTAGAGCGACACGCCGCGCTCCACCGCCAGCTTGGAGTAGCGCCAGTTCCGTGCCGACGTGCAGCTCACAATCATGTCGCTCCAGCCGGCGCTCTCAAAAAACGTCATCTCCTGGATCGTCTCGGGGAAGAACTCCTGGCAGAACTGGATCGTCTCCAACATGCCCCGGCGCATCACAGCCGTCTTGGCCGTCATGTTCCAGCCGTGGCCCTCGATGAACCCGCAAGCGAGGGCGACAATGTTCTTGAGCGCGCCGGCAAGCGACACGCCGACCACGTCCGACACCATCGAGACGGTGAAGTAGGGCCTGTCGAAGAGCTTCTGGAGTTCGGCGTGGTCGAGAGGGTGGTACTCTTGTGGCAGGGGCGTGAGCTCGGTCTTGCTGATCTGGCCGCGCGCGTCGCGGTGCTCTCCGTTCGTCCCGTTCGACCCGTTCTCGCCCTGCCGGTCGCACGGCGGTGTGTTGTACGCGATGGTGGTCTCGCACCAGAGCTCGTTCGCGATCTCGTTGGCAATGTTGGCGCCGCTCAGGGCACCACAATAGATCCCCAGCGACTCGCTAATGTATTCGCAGATGAGCTCGACCTTGTCCTCCGTTACCGTGACACCCTTGATGCAGCTCACGCCCCGGGCGTACGGGAGGATCTGGCCCTTGATTTGTTTGCAGACGTTGCCGATGAACTCGTGGGGGAGGTTGAAGATGAGGATGGACGAGTCCTTGACGGCATCTACCAACGAGGGGTTCGCGACGACGTTGCTCGGGAGCGGGATCTTGGGTAGGTACTTGACGTTCTCGTGGTATGTGTTGATCACCTTGGTGAGTTTCTGGGGCTTGTCCCCGACGGCCGCGTGGTGGGGTGAATCCGAAGGGATGGTCACATTCTCCTCGTACACCCACATCTGCACATCCTCTTCAAAGATATCTGAGTGCTCCTTGGTATTCTCGGCGACGAGCTTCGCGACCGTCGTGCCCCAGTTGCACGACCCGACAACCGTCACCTTGTGCTTGCGCCGAATAGAGTCTGAAGGCCCCGCCATTTTGGAAGATTGGGACAGACCGCGAGTATTGTGTGAGTAGTTTCGAGAGAGTGAAGAAGAGGGCAGGCTAATTGTTGAGTAGTTCAGACGCTGGGTTTGAGTTGTTGGTTTAGTAGGCTTCGGACGACCTGGTGGAGAGAAATCTAGACGGTGAGAAAGTTGGGATGAAAGGGACCGAATTGGCTGACAAGGTTTATGCCTGGGCAGTCGGAACGTGCAGCTTCCTGAGTGGATATGGCTGTGGAAATTGGTCACGTTGGTCAAGGAAAAGGCAGGCGGTGACCGGTGGTGGATGCTGGGAAGGGATGGGCTGAAGTGGCAGTTGAAGGGATTCGCCAGCAAACCAGGGATGATTTTAGCATTCCTTTTGTACGGGACCGGCAAGGGCGACGCCACGATCCCTCGCATTGTCAAAATGACCCTGATAAGCCTGAACAGCGCTGGGCGGCCAAAAAGGTTCTCCTATCCGTGCAATCTTTGTGTGCATCGCCACTGACTGTCGGGGAATTTTCTGCGACGCTGTTGGCCCATTCTGCAAACCATGACGCAAAGAAAGGCAGAAAGCTACACCGCCTTCCGTTTGCAGAATGCTCACCCACGAATTTCTAGAAACTCCCATGTGACCTCCCAAGGGGCCAAGGCCACGCCTCGGCCGAACCGATCGCTCTCCCCGTCACCGAGGCCGCTGATCTGCCAAGCATCCATAGCCCCATCGTCTCTCTTGAGAACGCCCGAGTTGTCTGGCTTCTTGCCCAACGGGCCGAGGGAGTTTGCTCAGCTCTGCACGGCGAGGACAGCCCAAATCAACGTAGCTTGCCGCGGCTTACCTCGCCGAAGACCGGGGCATTTTGCTCGGTTGCTTGGTAGGGACATGATAGGTTTCGGCCCGGGCCGAAAGCCCGCCTCGGTCTCAACATCGTCGAGCCCTTGACAGCGTCTCGGGTCGCTGATATTTCCCTAGCTTCTTTGAGATCAGCGACGGGCTAATGTCAACTAACTACCGAGTTACTCTGTAACCAACCCGCCAGCAGCCGCGATCAGCGTGGGCTGAGAGTGCCGACGACCCTCAGCAGTACTTTTGGGGATACTTGATGCCGTGAGTGGAATAAGGTCATTAAGGGCGAAAGATCACACAGTGACGCATCACAGCCAAACAAGCTTGCACCTGATGCTTTTTGACGTTCGCCGGAGCAATATGTCGTACTTCGATTTTCTGCATGGAAGGAACAAAAATCTCTATCATTGAAGAGATCGACATGGCCGTTAGCTACCAGGAACTCTCGCCTTGCCCAGGGGCCTGGACTGGTCGAAAGCACAGACTTGCCAAGAGTTGGTGCAAGGGCGCTGATGTCATCGAACATGCAGACAGGTGGGGGTGGGGGCACATCGAGAAAGCAGCCTCAAATCGAGAGCATTGATAAGTACGAAAACTAACAGAGAAACACCGACAAGTGATGTCGCGACTGGCAGTTATATAGCGACAGCGATTCCTATGTCTTTTTAAACAGCTAGTGATAGAGGTGTAGGGACTGGGAGCTTATTGCCAGATCGAAGCGACGGGATCAGCGACAGAAGCCGTGCGTCCCTACCTTAGCGGCTAGTTCAATCGATGCACATTGCTGCAGTTTAAATATCTCGAGACTCCACCTTCCCACCTTCCCATCCTCGAACCGCCCAAACGAAACAGGAGGGAATGGCAAGGTCCCCATTTGCTGATTCACGTTGGCATGTTGAAACCAACACCTTCGCCGGGCGCAGCCTGCCCACCGTCTGTGCCCCTTTGATGACAACGCGCCAGACCAACAGGCCCGGCAGTCGACCCAAAAGTTTCCAAATTCGGTCGTGCAACAGCTGCAGCGCCCGCAATCTGTGCCCTCGCTGGGGGGGATTTAGGAGTCCCGTAGGCGGCGTCGGGCAACATTGCACCATTGCCCGGTTTCTCTTTGCCTAAACCTACCCTCAAGAGATCCTTGTCGTTGGTGCTTCAAGTTCGCTGCATTTGCCTGGTTTTGGTTTTTAATTGCTTCCTCTGCTCTCTCCTCAATTTCCGGAAAACCTTGGAAACCATCCTTGAACTGATCCGACGCCACCGCTCCATCCGCTAGCTTGCACCGTTGCCACGCTTACATTAGTTCCGGACAACAACCCATTCCCTGATGTCGAGAATTATCAGGTCTATTGCTCTGTGCCTGTGTCTTGTTTGGTGCCTTGGATCCGATCGGCGGCACCGTTAAGACCCAACGCGCGGGGCGATCGACGAAAAGACTTGGCTTCCGCTGCTACCATATTTAGCTTGGAGCTTCCCGAGCTCCGTTTTCCCTCCTACAACATGGTCCCAAAAACCATGGTTTCCAACGAGGTCTACCTGCTGTCGCTAAACGACGATGGCTCGCCCCAGGTCGCCGGCGAGTACATCTATCTAGCGCCCAAGAATAACGACCCTTTCACCATCCGGTTTGCGATCGAGGGCACCTCAAGCATCTGTCGCCATGGCAGTTTGTGGGTCAACATCCCTGAGCAGGGCGCCGAGTTCCACCGCGACCGGTTCCGGGAGTTCAAGTAGGTCATCTTGTTGCCGAGAGTTTCGATCCAAAGGGATGAAATGGGAATACTAATATTTCCGTCCCAGGCTCGTCCCAGACTTCAATCGTACAATCGAGATTTCTATCCCAATCTACGAAGCTGGTGCCTACGCATTTTACACCACCTACGCTGAGCTGCCTGATCTAGCGAACCAATTGGCCCAGTCTGGTGATGATTCGAAGCCCAAGACCAAGACAACACCATGGTATTACATCGACGTTGCCCCGCGTTTAGCGCTGGACGGTCAGCCCCTGCCCCTCCCGGCCTTGTCGGTATTTTCCCTCATCAGCAAGTTCATGGGCAAGTATCCGCAGGATTGGGAACGTCATCTCAGGGGAATCAGCGACCGGGGCTACAACATGGTGCATTTCACCCCTCTTCAGGTTAGGGGCGCTTCGAACTCGCCCTACAGCCTGTATGATCAGCTCGGCTGGGACTCCACCTGTTTCCCGGAGGGCGAAAAGGACGTCCAGAAGATGGTGGAAAGCCTGGAAAAGAATCACTCGCTGCTCAGCTTGACGGATATTGTTCTAAATCACACTGCCAACAATAGCCAATGGCTCGAGGAGCACCCAGAAGCTGGCTACAACTTGACAACAGCCCCGTGGCTCGAGTCCGCTTACCTCCTGGATACCAAGCTGCTCGAGCTGGGGTCTAAGCTGGAGCAGCTTGGCCTGCCGACGGAGGTCAAGTCCCTCGACGATCTCCTCAAGATCATGGAGGCAATCAAGAAAGAAGTCGTCGCGGAGATCCGTCTCTGGGAGTATTACGTCACCGATGTTGAGCGGGACGCCGATGCAGCCGTCGAATCTTGGGTTGTTGGCAAAACCACATTCCCCGAAGGTTCCATCGCGGCCGGCGGCCCCGACTCCTTGCGTTCAGCAACATCGGAAGAGCTCGCGAATTGGTTGGTGGAGCATGGTCTGAAAGGGACAGACCGCCTCGGTGAACGGTTCAGGAGGAGAGTGGACGCCAACGTCGCCGCTGCGCTTCTTTCAGTCCTGTTCGGGAGATACGAAGGCGATAACGGAGCCACTGCCGACCAAGCAGCTGTCAGGTCCAAGATAGTGGAACTTCTCAAGATCGTGAACGTGCCATTTTACAAGGAATACGACACGGAAGTGGACGAAACTCTCCAGCAACTCTTCAATCGGATTAAGTACGTCCGTCTGGATGACAATGGGCCGAAGCTTGGTCCGATAAACCAGGAGAACCCTCTGATCGAGACATACTTTACCCGTTTGCCACAAAATGCAGTCACCGCCAAGCACAAAAAGGAAGACTTGGTTCTGGTGAACAACGGATGGGTATGGGGCGGAAACGCCCTTGTTGACAACGCCGGTCCCGAGTCTCGGGTCTACCTCCGCCGGGAAGTCATCGTTTGGGGTGACTGCACCAAGCTGCGATACGGATCCGCCCCGGAGGACAGCCCGTGGCTCTGGGAGCACATGACCAAGTACGCGCGGATGCTCGCAAAGTACTTTGCCGGCTTCCGGATTGACAACTGCCACTCAACACCTCTTCACGTTGCCGAACATATTCTCGACGAGGCCCGTCGCGTCCGGCCAAACCTCTACGTCGTCGCTGAGCTGTTCACTGGTTCCGAGGATATGGACTACGTGTTCGTGAAACGGCTCGGCCTCAGCTCGCTGATCCGCGAGGCGATGCAGGCCTGGAGCACCGGCGAACTAAGCCGACTGGTCCATCGCCACGGCGGTCGGCCCATCGGAAGCTTCGAGGTGGACGAGATTTCTAGTGCCGAGGTGCGCAGCCATGCGAAAGAACATGGAGCCAACGCTACGAATGGCCAGGAGTACACACGTGAGATCATCCGCCGCATCAAACCCGTCCCTGTTCAAGCCTTGTTCATGGATTGCACACACGATAACGAAGTTCCGGCGCAGAAGCGAGATGCCCGCGACACTTTGCCCAATGCAGCCTTGGTTAGCATGTGCGCCAGCGCCACTGGGAGCGTCATGGGATACGATGAGATCTACCCCAAGCTGGTGGATCTGGTCGGCGAAACGCGGCTCTACACATCAGAGGCGTCCAAGTTCCCCGTGAAGGTCGGAGAGGGCAAGGGTGGCATTGCAGGTGTCAAGAAGTTGCTCAATCAGATCCATACCCTTATGGGCATGGACGGCTATGACGAGACTCACATCCACCACGAAGACCAGTACGTCACTGTCCATCGCGTCCACCCGGGCTCCCGGAAAGGATACTTCCTCATTGCGCATACCGCATTCCCCGGCTATGGCAACGGAAACGGCGCCTTCAACCCCGTTCGCCTCACAGGCACCAAAGCCAAACATCTCGGCAGCTGGATGCTTGAGGTGGACGCGAGCAAGGAGGCGGTGGACGAGGTGCTAAGTGACAGGCGGCACTTGCGCGGTCTTCCGAGCCGCCTCCTCGCGCTCCCCGGTATCCGTATGGAGGTGAAGGGTGATGACACTCTCATCACCGTTCGAGACAAGTTCCCACCTGGCAGCATCGCCTTGTTTGAGACCTGGATTCCTGCGGCGGAGCATTCGAGCGGTTTAGACACTTTTGTTACATCTGGCGCCAAGTCCGCGGTGGAGGAGCTCGACCTGGTCGACCTCAACTTCTTGCTATACAAGTGCGAAGCCGAGGAGCGGGATGCCAGCGAAGGACGGGATGGGGTGTATGACATCCCGGGCCACGGCAAGCTTGTCTACGCTGGCCTTCAAGGATGGTGGAGCATTCTTCAAGACATCATCAAAGACAACAACCTGGCGCACCCCCTTTGCCAGCACCTTCGTGATGGGCAATGGGCTCTTGACTACATCGTGGGCAGGTTGGAGCGTGCATCACAACAGCCACTTTACAACCGCTTATCCAAGCTCGCGGCTTGGTTACGGGAACGATTTGATGCAATCCGTGGGATCCCCAGCTTCCTCCTTCCGCGGTACTTCGGCCTCGTTCTTCGTACCGCCTACATGGCAGCCAACGAGAGGGGCATCTCTCTCATGAACGGCAACATCCAGGGTGGTCAGTGGTTCCTGCAGAGCCTGGCCATGGTCAGTGTGCAACAGACCGGCCTCGTGAAATCGGCCTCCCTTTATCCGAACCGTCTGGTCCCGTCGCTCGCCGCCGGCCTCCCCCACTTCGCTGTTGAATGGGCACGCTGTTGGGGCCGCGATGTCTTTATCTCTTTACGAGGGTTGTACCTTGGCACCGGTCGCTTTGAAGAGGCGAAGGAGCATATCCACGCTTTTGCAAGCGTTGTGAAACACGGTATGGTCCCCAATCTGCTCGGAAGCGGCAATACCCCTCGGTACAACGCCCGAGATTCTGTCTGGTTCTTCCTGCAATGCATCCAGGATTACACCCGGATAGTTCCAGACGGCCTCTCGCTTCTTGATGAGAAGGTGAAGAGGCGATTCTTGCCCTACGACGACACCTGGTTCTCGGCCGACGACCCACGGGCTTACAGCAAAGAGAGCTCAATTCGCGAGATCATCCAGGAAGTCTTCCAACGCCACGCCGAAGGAATGAAGTTCCGCGAGGCCAACGCCGGCCCTAGCCTTGATATGCAGATGCGTGACGACGGCTTCAACCAAGAGATCAAAGTTGACTGGAACAACGGCTTCGTCTTTGGCGGCAACCAGAATAACTGCGGCACGTGGATGGATAAAATGGGCGAGAGCGAGCGCGCGGGCTCCAAGGGCGTGCCGGGCACCCCTCGTGACGGCGCTGCCGTTGAGATAACCGGTCTCCTTTACAGCGCCCTCAACTGGGTAGCATCCCTCAATGAGCAGGGCAAGTACGAGCAATCGTCTGTCCGCAAGGCCGACGGCTCGGAAATCACCCTCCGATCCTGGGCGGACCTCGTCAAAGCCAACTTCGAGCGCTGCTTCTTCGTCCCCATCTCCCCCTCCTCCGACGTCGACCACGACGTCAACCCGGCCGTGATCAACCGCCGCGGCATCTACAAGGACCTCTACCGCTCGGGCAAGGAATACGAAGACTACCAGCTGCGGTGCAACTTCCCCATCGCCATGACGGTCGCCCCGGACCTCTTCAACCCAGAGCACGCCATGCACGCGCTCTGCATCGCCGACACGGCGCTCCGCGGGCCCACGGGCATGGCGACGCTCGACCCCAGCGACCTCAACTACCGCCCGTACTATCGCAACAGCGAGGACAGCGACGACTTCGCGACCAGCAAGGGCCGCAACTACCACCAGGGGCCCGAGTGGCTGTGGCCCACGGGCTTCTTCCTGCGCGCCCTGCTCAAGTTCGACCTGCGGCGCCGCGCCCCTGATGACGCCGAGGGCCGCACCGAGGCCTTCCAGCAGGTCACGCGCCGCCTGAACGCCTGCAAGGACATGATCCGCCGCAGCCCCTGGGCGGGCCTGACCGAGTTGACGCAGAAGGGCGGGGAGGAGTGTCCTGATTCGGTAGGTTTTTTCTTCTTCTTTCTTCTTTTTTCCTCTGTCCTGTTATTTCCCTTCTTGTTTGTTTTGCTTTGTCTGCACTCTTTTGCCCCGATGCGGCCTTTTGCTGACGTAAGGAAACCCCGAAAAACAGTCCCCCACCCAGGCTTGGTCGGCTGGCTGCCTCATTGACTTGTACATGGATGCCGCGGAAGAACAGGCGCGGCTAGGCGCAAAGGAACTGCCGTTGAGATGAAAATGAGGTGAGATGGGACAAGATGGGGGAGGTTGGGATACAGACGGGGGCGTTCCGATGATGATGACACACGTAAAGGAAGAGCACGGGTGGGTAACTATTGTTTTGCAGTATTGTTAGCGATGCATAATGGTATGGATATAGTAATAAATGAAGCATTGTTTTCGTTATTGGGAGTTTTCAATGGGTGACATGAATGTGTGGGTTGTGAACCGACCGATCGCTCCAGGGGAAAGGGGGTAAAAGGGGATAAAAGATTAACTAACTACGGCTAAAAAAAGGAAAAAAAAAAAAAAGAGTGCAAGTCCCCTCGACCGGAATCGAGCCGGTGACCTTTCGGTATCAATAAATGCCTTTACAGCCGAACGTGATAGCCAACTACACCACAAGGGGATTCATGGATTGTTAAAATACTTTTATTCCAAATTCAGCTTATCGCCTCCGCGTCGTCCTCTCCAGACAATGACAGGAGTGACCGTGCCCGCGCGCAGCGGGCACGCCAAAGGAAGCCTGGAGGAACTTGCCGGCTGCAGGTAGGCCCCATAGCGGAGTCAACGATGTAATTGTTAAAGGTGGAAGAAGAAGCCATCTTGACTGCAATGGAATTATAAACAGTATCAGGAGATGATTGTAGTTTAGGTCAGAAAATCGGGATGGAAAGAACGTATCGAGTTCCTTGGATTGGGAAAATGGAGCACCGCGGTGTAAAAAAGGTGGCCTCTAGCACCGGTTTGACCTCATCGCCGATGTATGACGGCGCATTCTTGAGTCTCCAGTAAGCTATATCGTCATCTAGGGGCTTCAGTAATCAGATCCCGTAAAGATTAACCTCTGTGGCGTAATCTCACAGAGCTGATAGGTTCCGTGTATTTTGTGCGTCAAAGAAGCAATTTGCTTCGCTACCCTTCGTCACGTAGACGACCATCGAGCCGTAGGCCTTGCTTGTATCCTTCCTGCTGAGCCAGGCAATCTTGGCAATGTTGACGTTGTTCTCTGTAGTCGTGGTTCCAGGAATGGGACGTCATGGCCGAATCAGCGCAGACTGAAGCTGCTGACGAAGAAGCGGGTGCGTCGCTCTAGTAGTAATAGTCAACCCATAATAGATGTTGACCCTGCAAACCTCATCTTTCGCCACTTTTTGACATAAATCCGACTTTTTTGTTCGTGTTCGTGATTGTCAAGGAATGCGCGACGGAGGCATGCAAAAGCAGGAGCGAAGCAGCGAGCCACAGGGCCCTGACGCCAAGTGCGGGTTAGCGGCTTTTCTCCGGCGATCCGATTGGCCAGGTGTCAAAGCATCAAATGGTTCGTGCACCTCCACCGCCAAGACCAACTGCGAGATGCCAATTCGACGAAGCAAAATGCAGATGACGCCAGACATCGAGATGCTATCGAGAGAAGTCGAAAGGAGAAAAAAGCCAAAATTCTACAGTGAGAAGTCGACAGTACAGGTTAGAAATGACACCGTTTTTTGAGTTTTTTATGGAGTAAAAACTGGTCCGTGCTTATAGCAAGGAACCTGGAGTTCCTCCAGGCAAATGACTCGACAGGAAAGGACAAGAAAGAAAAAGAAAAAGAAAGGACAAGAAAGGAAAGGAAAAGGAAAGGACAAGAAAGGAAAGGAACAAGAAAGGAAAGGAAAAAGGAAAAGGAAAACAAGAAAGGAAAGGAAAACAAGAAAGGAACAAGAAAGACAAGAACAAGACAAGAAACAAGAAACAAGAAACAAGAAACAAGAAAGAACAAGAAAAAAAATTAAAAAATTTAACGCTGGAGGCACTTGCGAAACTACCACTCTGAAAACGTGATGCTCTATTGTGGTTATGAATTGCGATGAACTAAGAAATAGGTATAAAGGATCGGTAGGAACATGCCAGCCTCCTCTCTTCAGCCCTGTCTACGGGGTGAGAGAGTAAAAAAAAAAAAAAAAAAAAAAAAGGAAGCATGCCCGAGTTTGCCCCCAACGCCTGTCCTCAACGCCAATTGCCGAGGCACCCTGTCATTTCCCCAATCCTGATCTTGCCCTCCCAACCATCTCTTTTGTAAAAAAATAATAAAAAAAAAAGGAAGAAAAACAAGGTATTCCAAAGCTGATTACAACGGGGTTTGTGGAATGCGACCGTGCTTCGGTACGCAAGCGTCGTAACAGGCATGTTTCAAGAAGTCGAATGGGGTATGGCCTGTTTGTCCATTCAACCCCTCCACTCCATGACAGACAAAGGGACATATATACGGCGTCTAGGTGGAATGTGTAGTGTGTGAACCCGGGGTTGTGCGGTGCTCCGTCCGGTTCCTTCATGTCCGCCCCCCAAAGGCCCACTTCTTCTTCTTCTCTGACTTCTCGCCGTAAATGCCGGCAGAGCTGATCGGCGCCGGGTCGAACATGCCGGGTCCGGGGACGTGGACTGAGCCGGCACTGCTACCTCCGTTGGGTACTACTCGCCCGGATTCGGTGGCATGCGCCAGATTGGAGTTGAGCGCATACACGCGGTCCTTCTTGCGGATGTAGCGTCGGCGCCAGACGCAGGCGCCTACCCAAATGCCAACGATGGCGACGACCATGATGACAAGGAAAATCACCCATTGATAGTGGTTATCGAGCCTAACAATAGCATACGGGGTTAACACAGCATGTCCACGTACTTGAGACAAGCGAGGAATGGATCGACCGCCAGCGACAGAATGGCGAGACGCCGTTTCCACGTGGAACCGCCGGTTTCAGAAAAGAGGGCTATCATACCAGGTTCCTCCGCCTCCGTTATTGTTCTGTGGCCGTGACGTTGCTGACGATGTGGGCTCTGTATTTCCCTGCCCACCTCCGACATTGTTACAGAAATTTGTAAACCAGCCCTGAATGCTGCTCAGATCGGCGGGGTTGGCGGTGCAGGCGCTGTCACAGACGCCGGCTGTTCCGGACTTGAACGGGGCGAGCTTTGGGTCGTTGCAAAAGCAGCTATCGTAAACGTTTGCGTCCGCGGTCGGGGCCGCTGGCGGTACGCAGGCGCCATTCACATCGAATAAGGGGCCGCATTGCGACACACAGGCCGGTAATGTTGCTACCGGGATAAGTGTTGTCTCTGCGATAACTTGTCAGCAAGCCGGTTCTGTTGCGAAGGAGCGACGTCTACGAGGAAAGGACGGAATGGTTTCGGTTCTCGTACACAGGGGGAGGGGGAGGGGGAGGGGCATACCCATCTTGGATAAATCCTAAGCGATGTAGCGACGGTTGTGGTTGCAGCTGGTGAGGGCTGCAAAGTTCGAACGAAGGTCGAAATTGGTGATAGAAATCAACACGCGCAAGTTGTCACCGATGTAGTTGGCAAGCACCCGGTCGAAACAACCTGACCCGGCCGTAATCCAAAATGGTGATGACACAGCCACAGGGCCACCAAAAAGGTCGCGGTGGGTTCAAACAAAGGGTTGTTGTGTTGCACCGAAAGCAGTGATGCTCATCGAACCACAGTGTCGCCGACGAGACAAAAAAAACCGTCCCTCGTCCTCCTCCTTTTGGAATTCGTTTGCGCTGGGAGTTCAGCCCCGGAACGCTCGGTCGGTTCCCTCGTACTTTCGTATTCGCGATGTAATTAATCCCACTGTCGCTGCGGTCGGGGGGAGATTGGCAGTTATTGCTTCGTGGTTGTCAAGTCGTCCCTGGTTCTTGTTGCAAGACTAAACGGCGAAAAATGTAATGTTTGTTCAAGGAATCGGATCCGGATCTTGCTTGGTTGTGATATTCTGGCAATCGGTGGTCTCTGGGCATTCGTAATCGGGGCCGAAACGAGCGGAAGGGGTCCCTGGGCGGCGCTGATACGTTCGCATGCAACTCGGCTCGGCGTTTCCAGTCTCGAAAAGACGTCGTCGCCGACAAGGGATGAAAGCGAGTGCAACGTCGAGAAGAGGAGTTGGGCGGGTGGAAATGAGACCAAACGAGCGGAAGAAATGATGGCGAAGTGGGAGAATCGGGGATGGCAGCACCGGGCTAGCACAACCTCAACCTGATCTTTGTGCGAAGTGCGTGGGTGCAGGTGGTCCTCTGGGCTGAGTGAGACCTCCGAACGGGGCGCCAGAGGCCGCGAAGCAGGGAATTGAGCCTGCTGCCGAGCCAGATTGGGCGGCTGGTCCAGGCTTTCGAGCACAGACCCCAGTGGGGCATCTCCAGATGATTGGTGGACGGGCTCGACGGAACTCGTATGTCAGACGCGCCAATAATTCGCATTTTGCGGTGGTCTGTTCCTTGGTCTTCCTTGGCTGGCTGGATGGTTGGGCGGGCTGGTGGGCTGGTCAGCCAGCGAACAATGGATAAGAGGGCCACCTGAGCGCCTGTTGTCTCGGGCCCAGAGACTGGGTTGCCAATCGATTTCCAGTTGCGGTGTGGATATCTTGACATCCCAAACACGAGGAAGCCTCGATTTAGGCCTCGACATTGATTCATCGTGCTCCCGCCCAGGCCAACGCCCGCTCCTCCCGCCCGCTGCTGCGGTCAGGAACCATGTGGCGCCGAGATCTGCCCCCATAAATATCGACGATCCTACCAATCACTCGGGCCGCTCTTCATGCCGAGAGATGGATGATCGACTTGCCCGTTTTGTGCGACTTTTCAACGGGTGTTCCGCTGCATTCATTCATGGTTGAATGCGCCCCCGAGGTTGCAATATTGCTCCTCCCCTTGTTATACGTCATGCCCCAATTGATCCTTCCAGCGACCTCCGTCAACCGTCAAAAACCCGCGATGAAAGATGCAGCTACCGAAGATGAATTTGCCGAACCACGGGCAATTCTCACCATACTGTGTACATGTATGCACAGACAATGAACACCGTTCATTTTCAGCCAACTCTTAGCGCGCGGTCTGATTAGTGCCGTTTTCGAGGAGTTAAACACAAAGCGAACCTGCAACCCAGTTCTGACACGACGATGACGCGGCCGCTCTTCAACAATGGCAAGCCTCATGAGGCCTCCAAAATGAGTGGCAGACTTGCGCCGTAATTTCACACCTACTTCGTAGCTATGCTAGCAGATCTGGCAGCGACAAAAGTTGGCTTCGCACATAAACCCAGGTTAAGAGCCACTACGGATTCGCTGCTGTCATACATGGCTGCTGACCGATCGAGAGTCTAACCAGCAAACTCTGTAAGAGTGCTAGCGGCCTTGTCGTCCTTTCAAGACGCCACAACGTGCAGCGGCGTCTGACCCTCACGAGCGTTAGTCCATTACCGCACAGAAGATGATGTTTGAAAACATGCTGTCCTATCTCGCCCCAGCATGGACAACTGGTACCTGCTTCCAATAGCACTTTGAACGTTGTATGGCAGTTGTCGCATCATAGATAAGTCAGAATTAATAGATGAAGTACTAGATAAGAGTACTAGATAAGAGGAAGTTAACGCTGGCTCGAAGACAGCTTCGTACTTGTCTATAACTGGAGCCACCCAAGACCATAATACGGATCCACTACATCGGAAGATGCTTGACCTCGCCCCCACAACTCCCTCGCTCCAAAAACGTCCGTTTTGCATACAGATGAATATAGGTGAGTCGTAAGCGTACCAACTGAACACTATGGTAGGCCCTCTTCGGTGGAATGCGAATCCAGTCGGCGTGTTAGCTTGACACACCCTTATGGACCAGAGCGTCGTTCGTGCCACCCATGCGAACTGGAACTTCTTCACTCATATCGCGGAAACTGATAGTACCCGAAGCGCCTGCGTGTATGAGAGCCGGTGGTGGTTGAGGAGGCAGGCGGAGCCGTCACAACCGCGTTGAGAACATGAGACGAGGGAACTTTCATTCTACCAAGAATGGAATCACCAAAAAGAGATAGTTATTGTTGATATTGTTTCGATACTACTATACAGACTTGGAAAGTTGAGCGAAGTCATTCGTACATACCTGTGGAAAGCAGTTGAGGCACACCCTCGGGGTCAATTCCAGGTTTCGTGGGGGCCATGCCGTTATGGATTTCTTTGTCTAACTAGCTGTACTAATCAAAATTGCAAAACACATGGCTGAGAATCCATTATACATTTCCCCTCCGTGCTCTTAAATCATAGACGTCCAGCTCACCGTCCGTTCGGAAACAGAGACATCGTTCAGTAACGACGCGCAAAGGCCGACTCTGAATATCCCCAATTCAGGTAAGCTCGCTTTTCCCGGGAACTGATCGAAACATGTGATCGGGAAAAGTGCCCTCCTGACCCTGAGGGATTTACAGCATCACACCGTCCAACGAAGCTCAAGGAACTGATTACCAGAGTAGGCAGGATTAACCGGCCATCGAAAATAGGAGGGGATTCTTCAAAAACCTGGTACCTCGCGCCAACCGAGTAATCATGTCCATGCGTCCATGCTCACCGCCAGGCCGGGGCGCTGCTGAAGCAGATATGGCCTCCCACGATTGCTATCGCCGCAATCTGGGCGTACTACCACTCCCTTCTCGCCCATGCGAGGAGCGATACGTACGTAAGGACCGGTGGGTGAGTGGACAAGTGGGGTCGCATGACGCGCTTCTTCAGCCCACCCCAGAGGGAGTCGAAGATTTATGTGTGTTACCCATAATGTACCGGCATAGAAGGCTGGAACCCCTTCCTTGGGCGGCCAGCTGGGAGATGTGGCAGCACCCCTGCTGTGTACACTCCTGTGAGGGTGGTTCGATGTCGACATTGAGTCCTCTCACCGGGGGCGGGTGTGGTCGGGTAACCATAGCTTGCTGGCCATCTAGGCCTGGCTTATTGCCTCGTAAACTGCGTCTTGACAACGCAGGGCCATATCAGACCAAATGGTGTTGCTGGATCGAGGGTGAAGTCAGCAGTTTCAGGTACGTACTGTTACACAACCTCGACCGGCATCGTTTCCGCGGGTTCAGCTCACGCCGGCGGCCGCATGAAGCCCGCTGCCACAGGCCTGCGCCCGAGCCGAGCATCGCCCTCCTCCCATGAACTGACGATCCCGTCGTGTCAACACCCGTGTCGGCATGCCTCCAGTGGCTCGATGACATCACGTACCTTGCGGACGGCAACAACACCCTTCTAGATTCCCGACGTCGTTCCCGCACGCGAGATTCGGCAAGGCGTAGGGCTCCTTGACCCGACAAAAACTCCGTGTTGTCTAAATAGCGGTGAGATACTCGCCCCGGTCATGCGATCCTGCTGGACTCGCACGGCATGCTTAGGAGCCCGAGGATCGGCCCACCCGACACGGGGCACCTTCATCGCCATACCGGGCATGGGCCGATCAACAGGTGGTCGCCTTCATTGCCAAGATGAGGCGTCAGATTGTAGCTGGCGGTGCCTTGAGAGCTAATGAGATGTTGGTGTCTCGTGATGACGGTTTCGGCCGAGACGGATGACAGCCACTGCATCCTTCGACGATGGCCGCCCAGGGGGTGCTGGCCGGCTAGCCTTTTGGAAGTGCAGCGAACGCAAAGATATCCCGCAATGCAAGGCTTCGCTTGAACTTGGCAAGCTTTGTCTCATGCGGTGCAACCTGGCCATATGGAAGTTGCGAGTTGTGAAACGACGGTATATCCCCCGTGTGGTTATGTTGACAGCCACACATGGCCGGGAATCATACGGATGGGACGCTTGCGCGGTCGTACGGACCCGGAGGGTTTCCAAGGAGGCGGTGACGGCGAAGTTGGATCATGGATCGAAACCCGGCACTTATGCAAGGAGTGAAGAATCCCAGGGCGCGTCGCTCACATTCGTAGAATCCCGATCGGGGCGATCCGAGGCCAAGAGTTTGTCGTCTCCCCCAGAAATTCCGGTTCCGGGTACGCCATTCTCCCGTGGTGTTGTACGAGTTCATCGTACTGGCCCCTGTAGTTTTCGATGAGCATCCGGAGGAATGCATAGTCAAGCTGGGCATGCGTCTTGAGCAGAAGGTCTTGAAACTAGCCGGAAGTGGCAGAGAGCTAAGCAGCATATTGGAAGGGTGACTGACGCCGTGTCCCTGAGGGGCCACGCGCCACACCGTGGTGGACGTGAGGAAAGATGATAGACGCCATATAGTTCAAAATTGCCAACCAAATGATATCATTTGGCAGGTCCCGGTCATGAGGAAGCTGAGTCCTGCTGTCAAACACACCATGGCTAGAGTTTGGTGGGTAGTACCCAGCTGTCAATCTTTCGGATGCCCAGTTTCAGTGTCCCGGAAGCTGAAGGGAACCGCATGTGGCAACGGGTGCTGTAGCCCGGCTGTGATTGCCTCGGCTCCGCGGCGGTAGGTCTTTCCAAGTGAGGGCCGTTGATGACAATGTCCCAGGGGCACGAGGCAGTTGGGGAATCATGCATGGTCGATCCAGTCGGCCGCCATGCGGTTTGCTTCGATTGGTGCCCCTGTTTTCCTTACAGATCAGTTGCTGGTATGTAGGAAGCCATTTGGGCGAACATGCAACACACGCCGTCCGCCGCCATTGCCGAAAGCCACAACCCCTTTTTACTGCAGGTCACGGTCCAGGGGCGAGCAGGCCACGGCACCCAATCCTGGGTCACGGCACACGTCCGGTGGGATTACGCGCTGCAAGTACCCGTCGCTAACCTGTCATCCTTGCCGCCTTGTAGAGATGTATTTTAGATGCCTCCGGACGTAGGAAAAGGGAATCAATTTTCCTTTCAGAACCAAGATCTTAGGCAAGGCAACCCCGCTAGCTCTCAAGAGTCTTGTTGTTGTACGACGCGAAATGCATCGGTATTTTGTGGTTGATCTTCGAGGGCTCGGCGTAAGGATGTCGAATCGGAGCAGATAAGGGGTGGCGGTGAGGGTTTGAGTATGCCTCCGGGAGGATGTGATGCTTGGTCGTTGCTGATCTGTCGACCACCTGGGATGCAAGACAGGGAATCCCCCTGATGACACAGAGAACTCGGCATGTTTGACAGTTAGGATTGCCGGCTTGGGAACGGTAGTGGTGCTTCAGACTAAGCCAAAGGAAGAAGGCCGTCGAATGTCGTACAGACATAGAGGCCGTCCAACCTAGGAATTAGCCATCATTCTGGCGGTGAATGTACATTAGTTCTGGTGGCCGTCCGAGGTTTTCGCTTTTCGAAGAGGGCCATGGTTATGCATGCGGCCCTTCCATCAAAGCTGCAGTCCAGCATGTCAGTTGAGCGACCCGAGACATGCCGGATGTGACCCTCGAGGCAGGGCCAGAGGGCATGTGAGCAATACGCGCGCTGACGACGTCAATGTGTGAGAGATGTTGGGTTTCCGCGGCCATGGGAAGTCATGGCTCAACAGAGCATCATCGACTGACGTCCTTCCTTCGCATCTCGTGTATAAAGTGGTGGTCCCGCGCCATTTACCAGCTCCCGGATCCAAACTTCCATCCAAAACCCGGTCCATCATCAACAGCCCAACATTGTCAACACCAAAATCCAACGCCGACCAATAACAAGTCAACATGAGTCACTCGTCTTCCACCCATTCATACTGTCAGCCATGCCCACCCCCAGCTCAAAGAAGATAAAGCTGATTCAAATTTTGCAGCTCATGGAAGCAGCTCCAAGCCCAAGTCCAAGGGCAAAGGGAAGGACAAGTCGGACAGGAAGGGGAGTTCGAGCAGAGACAAAACCAAGTCGACATCCAACAGGGACCCGTATGCAACGTCTCTCAGCAAGAGTTCGGGCGTGACGAGGTACATTGAGGAGCCGGTCCATGACGGCGCTTGGAACCCCATGGCGGCTTCCGGCGCGAACCGATCGTGAGAAGTGGGTTGGAGTAGTAGAGTTGGTTGTCGGTGGTAGACGGCATGCGATGAAGAGAAGGTTCGAGATGGATGTTTGTCGTTCGATCCTATAGGCGGCGGTTGTCTGATTTTGAACTGATTGGTATCGTCGATGTCTCGATCATGAATAATTTCTGCATTCAGCCCCTTGTGCATGGTGTGCATGGTTCAAGCGTTCAGTATCTCGACGTTTGGAGCATGTGAGTCTGCCCCCCGGACACGGCGAACATCCCGGCCCCAGATTAGGTGTGGTCTCCGGTGCCGCTTTGTAGCCGTTGTGAGGGAGAGGGGCAGGGTTAGATGAAAGGCTGTTTCGGTACAGCTTACGCAGTATCGGCAGCGATGACAGAAAGGGGCCATGACAACCAATGGCTCCAATTCTGTCCGAGGTGGCCGGCAATGCTTTTTAGAAGATGCGAGCCCGAGCCAGCAACGTGCCATAGACTTCTCGTGTAATGGAGAAGGAGTGCCCAGTGGCCCATGATAGCGATTGCTTCGGGGGATCGTTGAGATAACAAGTCGGTGAACTTCTGAGGCACGGCGGGCGCCCTGTTTTGTTTGTCAGTGTCGGCCGCCACTTGAATTGGTACGTCAAACTCACCACATGAACACCATCAAGTACCTCTGGTTCCGGGCGTCGCCCCCCAGCAGACTGTCGAAACCAACTTGAAGGCAGGCAATGGCAGTCATGCAGGCTTCCTTGGATGGTACGTCTAGCTCCTTCGACTCGGCCACCAGGCGTTGCAGTCCATCGCAGTGGTTCCCCCGAGGTGTGGACTGGGAGATTTCGAGGGCCCAAAGAACAAGATGTTTGATGTCAGATTGCAACAGAAGATCCCAGGCAGAGACGGACATGGCAAGCAGGCCACGAGATATCGAGAGAAACTCGAGGAAGCGGGTCAAGAAGTCGCCAAAGTCGGAGTCGCGCCTCGCAAGGAGGTCGGCAAGCAAATGACGGCCGAGAAGGGAGCAAAACAGGAGGAGAGTCGAGCAGTTGGTCTGGTCAATTTGAGCTCTGGCTCCGGTCTCGTTGTAAATAGAAACGGCCTTGGTCTGTAAGTGAATGGCGGTCTCGAGAAAGTGATCTGCTCGCTCGGGTTGAAGGAGTGCTTGACGTCGAGCTGAAACGGCGAGGATCTGGTGCATCAAATACGGGGCCTCGAGTGCACACTTGAATAAGAGTTTCGATGCGAAGTCGTGCATCTCAACGTTCAGCTCGGGAGCGTGCTCTTCAAAGTTGAAACGGATAAGTAACTCCATGTGATTTAGATTGACCTCGGGTGAACTCTGGTTCGCATAGTTGGGCGACATCGGCCCTCGGCTCGCGATGTCGGGAAGGGGGACACCGGCAACGGGACTCGCGCTACTTTCATTTTTAGTAGTGATGGCAGGAGCCAAATCTGCGGACTGCTTGGGCTCTGGTTCCTCCTGGATGGCTGCTGCTGGTGTGCTAGGGGCTGAAGAGCCGGCCGGCTGTGGTGGGTAACCACATTCCCGATCTGAGAGTGTACAAATGATGCACTTGGGCCGCTGTTCGTCACACTAGTGTCCGTTAAAACAACCGCATTAGCATTTCTGGGCAAGTTGGGCAGCTTTGAAAATCGGGTCACAGACGAAACCGCTGAACTAGAAACGATGAACTAAAGTTGAAAGTTGAAACACGAAATTAAACAAACCTTGACGTGGCGACGCTTGCACTCCAGGCACCCGGCCCGTGACTTCTTGTGGGATCGTCTCAGCATGACGTGGGCCGTCCTTATTTCAAAAAAGTCGTCGTTGCTTCTCTGTGTGTGATAGCTTGGAGTAACAATTACACAACGGAAGTGGTTAAGGACTTGAAAAACGGCGAGTGTTAACAACGGAATAAGGCAGGGGGGTTTTGAATGGCTCCACAGGTAATGGCACTGTGCGGGTCCAATACTAGTATTCGGATTATTTTCTCGGAAAAGGAAGGACCATGACAAACCGTCAATCCTCGCTGCGACCACAACTGAAACTGCCCAGTGCGCATGTCTCCACACACAATCCGTCAGATATTCTTACCTTGAATTATCTATTCGGCTTTCCATCGCTTGATAATGATATCGGCAGCCTGTAATTAGTTAGGTATCTGCTGTCAGTGCAATTCAAACAAAAAAAATATTAACAGAAAAGAAAAAAAAAAAGGGGGGGGGGGGGGAAGGGGGAGATGGTTGGAGAAGCTCAAAACTCCAAAAACCTCCCCAAAAAAGCCAATGAAAAACACCCAACACACCTTCTCACCAACAGCATACGCCGTCGCACTCAAATGCGCCGCCGGCAACATCGGCAAGACACTCATATCCACGACCCTCAGCCCCGCCGCACCATACACGCTCAAATCAGACCCCACCACGCCCCCCCTCGCCCTCGGCAGCATCGCCGCCGTACAGCACGGATGCATATAGCTCTGCACGGTGTTCTGGCGCACATACGCCGTCAACCGCTCCTCATCCGCCGCCGCCTCGTCCCCCGGCCCGACCTCCACCGCGCCCAGCCCCCGCAGCGTGTCGGTGCGCGTCATGCGCCGCAGGTACCGCGTGTGCGCGAGGTGCAGCGCCATGTCCACCGGGTTGGACGCCGACCGGTAGTCGAGCACCGGCGGCTCGAACGGGTGCGTGCCGTTGAGCCGCGCCGTGCCACGGCTTAGTGGGTGCAGCAGGATGGCGGCGGGGGAGGTGCCTGTGGCCCAGGCGCTTTCGAGGCTGGGAGAGTGGGGGTTGGCGTAGAGTTGGGCGAGCTGGGAGAGTTGCGCCCGGTAGCCGGCGATCAGGGTTGGGTCGGCGTTGTAAGCGGGGGGAGGTGGAGGGTGGCGGTGTTTGGGGGATGTGTTCTGCGCGCGGATCGCGTCCATGATGGTGGGGTAGTCGATGGTGATGTTGGGGAGGGATACCCAGATGGCGCTGTTGGACATGGCGAGCGTGTAAGGGCCCTGGGCGGGGGTTTGGTTGAAGCCCGCCGCGGTCTCGGCGGCAAAGGTTGCGTTGAGCATGTCTGAAGGCGAGGGCGTAGAAAGCGATCGGCTTCGTGTCTGGCGTGGGTGCGAGTGGCGTTTGCTTAGCTGACTGTTTCAGGTAATATTGCAGCGCTGCCACTTACAGCTCCAGATATTCAGAGGCCCCTGCATGTCTGCAGCTTGGATCGCATCCCAGTACGGTCATGACTACGGATTCAAGCATGTCAAGTAATCCCTGTGGTGGATTCCGCTTCTTTGCAAGATGGCCGGTGTACCGAACACCCCTGATGAAAGAATAACCTCATTCTTCACGGAGATATTGAACAATGGGCCACCGTCTAGGGGACGTACTTCCACAAGAGGCGGGCCTGATTTCGTGTTCCACTCCGGGTATACCACCCGGGCCACTTGGTGCTTGACCAGGAGATGGTAGTTGGGCCTGTCAGCGACCACATCGGCGTAGTGGCCGATTCCCGAATAAGACCGTCTTGCTGTTATGGGATGTTGTGAGATGGGAATCCAACAAAGGCCTTCCTTGTCCCCGTTGGCGCATTCCTCGGCCCGCCAGATGCCCATCTCCTCCCAGGCGTCTCGCCCAACAGAGTGGTCTCCCCACAAGAACGGGGGGAAGCTGGCGTGGATAGGTGTGACATTTTCAAAAGCTGATGTGTCCCAGGTGTAGTTGTATTTGCGCGCAACAGCCTCAGGAGGCGGTGTGAAAGTGACGCTCTTTCTGAAGAAGGGGTAGATTCCATCCCAACTCCAGTTGATGCCTTTCATCCGGGACTCGGGGCTACCTCCCTGGAGTCGATCCCAAGCATCATAGTCGAAGCGCGATCCTCGGTCAAAGAACTGGCCGTTGATGGCGCTGCTTCCACCGACTACCTTGCCAACCATGACGAGAGCCGTGGCGTTGTTCAACTCCGGACTTGGCGTGGAGTTGAGCAGCCAGCCACTTGCCGCATTGCTGCTACCTCCCCAGATGGTCATTGGAGGGTCGAAGATCCCTCGTGCGTTCTCAACCTCGCCATACTCAACGACAAGGACGGTTTCTGTTTAGCCGAGGTGCGCAGCCGTTAGCTAACATCCCTCAGGTTAAAGTGAAAAGCTAGCAAGAATCTCAACCAACTGTCAGGGAACGCCTCGGTGAGCCTATCTGCAACGGTCAAGCCGCTGGTTCCACCGCCAGCGATGACAAAGTCATAGCTGTCAAGGAGCTGCGAGCCTTGCCGCTTGACATTACCCGTGGCTTGAGGATTGGCAAATGTCAGCCGCAGCACGGCAAACAAACAAGAGAGGGAGCTGGCGATCTTCATGTTGTCGTGCCCCCCGCACCATTCGCAGGATGGAATGATAAAGTGCGTAAGACAAAAATTGGGGGATGGGGTAACCACCTACTTACTTTATGTATGTACACTTACCTTGCTTGCTGTTTAACCATTTTCGACCCCTGAACATCTCCCGGACCCCGCTCAATCTGTCAAATTAGAAGGCCGCACCATCCCTGGCTCACCAATGGTCCGGCAGTATGACACTTATCCCATGCATAGGCGGCAATGGCGCATGCGAAGATGCTAGCCAGTAACCAGCATGCGATGCTGATTTCAGACATAGTCCTTGTGTTGCCCTGGCACGTCTGTTTCCGATCCTGTCTGGCTATGGGACCAAATCTATCCTCGAGACTTCCAGAGGGGAAACCGCGGTAAATCAAGGCAGGCGTTTCTTCATTCTTCACCCTCCATATACCTAGGGTGCCTGCAAAGACACCATCCAACTAGCGCCCTTTGAAGATGGGATTTGAATCACCCTTATTTCAATTTATGCGCCTCTTCGTCCCAATACTGACCAGACAAATCTCCCGCTGGCGGAACCCTGTTGCGCCCATCCAATTTGCGGTAGGTAAGGGAGTCGAGGTCAATGTCGAAGAAAGTGCGAACCTGTATTGAGCCATTAGCTTGCAATTGAGAGTTATATTATAGTACTTGACAACCAGAAAGAGCTTACACTGATACCGTAAATGTGCTCCGGTGCGTGAACCTCGCGGAAATCGATGCCGATGCTGGCTCCGCAGTGCTTGCAGAACATCTGATCCTTGTCTTTTGTGTTGAAGCGGTAGTTACTGCAGCGGGCGCGGCTATCGTTATGCCAAGTAACAGCCGAGGCCTCAGGGTCTAGTAGCATCTCGCTGCTTTAGTCTCTTCCGTTTCTTTCTCCCTTGTTCCGGCTTGGTTTAGACGGATGTTGGGGAAGAGGATAGGGAGGAGAAAATGCGACTCACAAACAAGAAGATAGCCAAATCGCCTACACGCGGAGCAATTACAGTTAAGCACCTTGGTTTCGGGGAGCGCTGGTGTCAGGGTGACGCTGAACTTGATATACCCGCAATGGCAGCCCCCCTCATAAGTGCCACTACTCTTCCCGTCTGCCTCTTTCTGTGGCGGAGAAGTGCCTTCAGGGATTTTCCCTTCTTCTTGAGACATGATAGCAAGCTGTGATTTCAGAGGAATGAGCTGTGCAAAAGAAAGGTCCTGAGTTGCATGTCCTTGAGCCCCTTGGAAAGCCCCTCGGAGGACACGTAAGATTTGGTTTGAATGGCATGCGGAGAAAGCAGCGGAACCTCGGGAAAATAAAGTTCCACGCCCCAGTTTAAAGATAGGTAACTAAGTTGGGTAGGTATCTTATGGATAATGTTGGTGTCAGCACGCCTTGTGCGGCCCCGATCTTAGAAAGCGTCTCGTAGTACCTATACAGTTGGGCGTCCTGTTCGTAAGGGCCGTCCAGCAGCATTGGATTTTCTTTTCTAAGATCTCGAGCTGGTGCAAGTACCGAATTAGTACTGCCTACCTTAGTTAGATCGGTGACGACTAGCGTATCCCCGGTGTTGCACGTCTCTGTCATTTTCCTATTTTGGTATCTATTGCCTGCCAAGTGCCCCCTTTTCCCATAGATACCTACCTACCTACCTAATCCAGGGGCGCCTCAGCCGTGCTAAGATGGATCATGATAATCGAGTACAAACGCCAAAATCCCGGAGCATCTGGCCCACGACAACCATCCCTCCAATAGACGGAATAAAAATTATACACTGCAAGGCCCAGGCACACCATCTCCGGCGCGCTTGCCCGACATTCCTTAGCAACCCTTGCATTATGTAGACACCAAGAAACGGAAGCACGGAGCCTCCGACAAGCCAAGCCAGGATCCATCCGCGCTGAGTACTTGTACTCTCGTTCCCCTGGAACCTTGAGAGGGCGCCGACGATTATGACGGGCGAGAAGAGGATGCCCAAGAGAAGCAGAAACCCTAAAAGAAAAAGTGCCTGAGCGACCAGGTACATGGGGAGCAACATAACCACCACTAAGGTACAGTAAACTAGTCGCGACTTCGGACGCTTTTTGATCCACCTCAACGGGTTGAAGAAGCGGCGTAGGCGTTGCACGTTCCCAAAACGGCGGTAATTGAAGTTCCGGACAATCGGTGAAGTCGTGTCGATGACGGCAACAACGCAGTCGAAGCGCCCGCCGTGGTGCCTCTCAGCATCGACCAAATCTGGCGAGGAGACGAGAAACATGCACGGGTACTCGGGCGCTACCAGATTCGCCGCGAGGTTGGCGATCGACATGAGTGCGTACGGGACGACGGTGAGTCCGAACGCGGCGTAGCCGTATTGCTCGATCTGGTTCCCTCGCGCCTTGTAGACTGTGCTGATAGCCCAGAAGGCCTGAACCAGACCGATGATGCTCTTTGGCACGTTGTAGCTGCATGGCAGCTGCAGCTCAGATGTCACCTCGGCCCAGGTCTCGGGCGATATGCCCTCCGGCCTGTCGCAGCGCGGCTGGAGAGGGAAGTCCCTGGGGACAAGGACGATCTCATAGTCGTCAGGGAGGATGACGATGCCTTGGATCTTACGGCGCTTTCCCACCGCCGGAGTTCTTCGTCCCGGCCACCAGCTCTGGTTCCGGCTTTGCTCTGCGCGCGTATCACCCCGGCTCTTCCACTCGGTGCCCGGCCCGAGGTCCAGGTCTGCGCTGCCGCCCGACATCTGAACAACACTGTTGCCGCGCTCCGCTTGAGACAGCGAGCCAAGATTGTCGGTCCGCTTCTTCACGACAGTGCAGAGCGCTTCGCACGCGGCAGCCAACCGATAAGGCTCCTTACGCAACCTCAGACTCGCCAAGGGCAGGAGATTCGACAACCCCAAGCTCAAGCCCGTGATAGGGAGGAAGAGAGCCTCCATGGCAAACTTTGCGGTATCGATCCATGACCGGCCGGGCTTCGATCGCACGGTTGCGGCATGCGCGAAGTAGTTACCAAGGAAGAATGTTATATAGTCGATCCACTGCGGAGGAAAGCAGATGAGATCCGGTTCGCTGTGATTGGTTGTTCCCGTAGGGACGGATACCGTGAAGTTCATCGTATCGTGAAGATCTTGATGCTGGTGGCGCACGATGCCTAGAGGTAGGTACATGTATTTACGGGTTGGACGAGGAATCCCACAGCGGGGTCACGAAGGGGTGAGAAAGCACCAATGCTTGTGCCCATACCTACCCTACATTACGGGAGAATCGGGCCAATCCATTGATGTGTGGTACTGGAACCCCCACCTGCGCCCCGGCCGCTGCCGGACCAAGGTCGACGTCGTCCCAATCCGGCAGAGCTGAGAGTGATGTGGACAAATGAAGTTCACACCACCCTCGTTCGCCTAGGAGAAGCGCTACTACTATTATACCGTGATACTAAGCCAAGCAGTGTTTTGGTAGTAGGGTGGATAACTAGAGAGACGAGGAAAAGAGATATTCCAGGGAATAAAGGGAATGGGGGAAGGCTACGAGGGTATAAGCGAGCCTAGCTAACACCAAACCTCTTTCGAGGAGCGGGGGCGGGATCCTGGCGCCGAGGATACACCGCCATCGCGAATGTAGGGCGTACGTGCTGGAGGACTCTAATGGGTGTAAACGAAGTACGGATTACCTCGAATGGGCGACGACTTCCGGCCTCCGTTGCCGGCGCCGCGGCGCCGTTTGGAGCCGTTACGGAGGCGCCCAGTCCCATACCCGTTAAGCCATCAATTACTGGAGTGCAGAAAGGGAAGGTTTTGCCCAGAACATATGGAGGTACTGTGTCGGCGTCAGCGCCAAGTCACGGGCTTGACCGTTTCCGCTTCGCTACGAACCGCACAGCACCGCACCATCGGCGACCTGCTTTCGAAGTGGTGCTACAAGGCTTGGTAGTTGGCTGCCTGCAACCCACCAAGCCCCATCGAGTCTAGAAGGCTGTCAGGGGCCAGACTTCACCCCCTTGTCAACGTTGCAGTGGACCACGCCAACCCACCCAGCAATACCCAAAAGGGGATACCTCTTGTGAGATTTTGTGGTGGAGGAGATGGGGCCGAGGATGATTTTTTCATCTGGAAGATAAGAAGGGAGACATCTGCTGCGATTCGAGGCGTGGCCTCGACTTAGGTACAGACTACAGCCCTCGACCTTTGTCCTCCACCACCGTGAAGTCGAATTGAGGCCGTCCAGTTCTTGCAACGATGCAAATTCTAAAGGGAATCCAGGTGCTTGTCGCTCTTCTATGCGCAGGCGACCTTGTCAGTGCACGTCCGCATCAACAACAGCAACAAGGACCCCTCATGAGGAAAGAATGGTAAGAATATGAGTCCCCCGTCCATCCAGAACCAACCCACAGCATCCACTCACCTCCACCCAGGCGCACCCTCACCAAACATGAAAAGTCGTCCTACATCTGCGCCGTGCAGTGCCTCCTGCGCAAGCCGGCCCTCACCCCGCCCTTCCCCAACACGGGCGTGCTCAGCCGCTACGATGACCTGATCTACACGCACATCCAGCAGACCTTCGACATCCACTACACGGGCCACTTCCTCGCCTGGCACCGCTACTACGTGGCCGTGTACGAGCGCATGCTGCGCAACGAGTGCGGCTACGGGGGCGCCCAGCCCTACTGGGACTGGACGCTGGACACGCCCGCGGGCCAGTGGGCGTCGTCGCCCGTCTTCGATCCCGTCACGGGCTTCGGCGGGAACGGCGCGCTCGTGGCGGCCGACCCGGCCAACCCGATGGAGGTGCCCGGCCGCACCGGCGGCGGCTGCGTCCAGGACGGGCCGTTCGCCGGCATCCCGGACATGGTGCATCTCGGCCCCATGGACTCGGTCACCTACAACCCGCAGTGTCTGAAGCGGGATTTTAGCCCGTACTTTGCGGGGCGGTACTTGGCTATGAACCAGACGCAGCTGACGCTGGCTGCGCCGGATTTTGGGGCGTTTGATAAGGTGGTGGAGGGCGGGCCGAGCTTTGAGGCCTCGGGTGTTCACGGGGGCGGCCATTACGGTGTGGGAGGGACATATGGTTCGTGTTGTTTTCTTTTATGGATAGAGATTGAGAATTACTGGCTAACTGAGTCGATTGTAGGGCAAATTGGTGACCTCTACACGTCCCCTGCTGATCCCATCTTTTACCTCCACCACGCCAACCTTGACCGCGTTTGGTGGTCGTGGCAGAAGCTGAACCTCGAGACCCGGTTGACCGACATCTCTGGTCCCATCTTTTTGATGGATTACGATAATCTCAAGGGCGGTAATGTGACACTGGAGTTCCCGCTGTCTGTTGGTGTCAGTGCCAGCAACGTGACCGTTGGCGACGTCATGAACATTGTGGCGTGCGGCCAGAATGGTGTGTTGTGCTATGAGTATGACCAGGTCTACACATTGCAGAGTTAAAGAAAAACTCAAGAGGGTCTGGAATTAATTAGAAATACCACTAGAGGCTCCCTGTAGATCCATAAAGAAGTATCAAAACCCGGTCTTGTTGTAATAATAACACGGCCAGCTTGAACTCCCAGACACATCTAAGGAATACAGTCATTGATACTCGTCAGCGATAATAACAACGATTAGAATAGAATAGTCCAAATCCCCTTCATAAGGTAGGGAGTTGTGGATTGACAAATGATAAGATTGCCGTTCACTAATGAAGGCTGTTTGTTAGTTCACACTTCACATCTTCGCACCCACCCGCCACACCCATTACAACAATCACAGCTCGATGGAAGTACAACAGTTATAACTAATTTCTAGAGGAAGGCCTGATTCCATTATACCTACCAGATACTTTCTTTCTTGAGGATAATGTAAAAAATCTATACGGTAAAGAAGACAAAAGAATAGTTGGAAACGCACAGCCTTTAGGCCCAGGACCACCCTACCCACAGCCCGGATTTAAGCCCGGTCGAACACATTTGGGAAAATGGAGAATATCCTATATAGGAACTTCACAGGTCTATATCTTTTTTGTAATAACGAAAAAAATAGAGCAAAGGTGGTCGATGCCCTGAAGGTGGCGTGGGAGAGGGTGCCGTGGGACCTTATCAACAGGCTTATTGATTCAATGCCCCGTCGGCTGGATATGGTGCGGAAGGTATAGGGTTGATATACCGAATACTAAAGCCCTGTTAAATGTCTAGAATTCCCAGTATCTCTTTTGTAAATTGCTGCTGTTTTGACTGAATTGTGGTTGTTGTAATGTGGGTGGTGGTGATACTGGTAGGCTGCCGAGATGGCTGTGTGAACTTAGGCAAGGTACCTATTCTTTGACTATAGGTTTACTTAAGGTACCTACCTAGGTATGTACTTATAATCAATCAGACATACCTAGCTATCATATGTATTAGTTTGTCGTGTTGAACAACTGTACGAAATTACATTCATTTCTTGACTGTAGGTGACATAGTTATTCATAAATGATACGTGACATAATAAGAGAACCAAAAGGCTAATGTCTCCACCGACGTCTATGTGGAGGCCAGCCCAGTGTAGTTGAAACGTACAAGAGGATAAAGTTCAACACGACGGCGCGCACATACCGCTCCGCATGGTCCCGGCCATTTGGCCGATTGTCGAGAACCTCTGACCATCTACTAGCTACTGAGCTGTCGACAAGGCCTTACTTTAGGCCACACATTCAATGATATCATGGAACCTAGACGCCAGCTGGCAGCCGGCCGTATCGTTGCCTTGCCTATTTTGTGTTTTGTGACTCCTGTCTTGTTCAATCTTCTTTTCTCAACTCCATCTCTTCATACACCAGACAATACCCAAGCTTAACTTCATCCCGAGTCCACGATGAACACCGTTTTTTACCCTCCTCACCTCGGATTCAAAGCCAGGGGCCAAAACGCTACACCATCGCCTACTTGGTACTATTTTATCGACGCGTCTTGTGATGACGTGTCGCAGGGCGATTTCGTGGCCTGCCTCTTCGAAGCCCAGCACGGGGCGAAACGGGCATACAAGCGCCTCACAAGCCAAACCAACACCGACTTCGCTATCTCACCAACACCCGTCGGGTTGCCTACGGACCGGACCGATGTATCGACCCGGTCAATGGCATGTACGCGAGGGGGCCGCTGCATGAGCTGCTGGAGCCCAACACAGCGACAGCGACGTGCGACGGGACCGCGTTTCCGGTGAAGGGCGAAAACCCGCGGTGATCCGTCATGGACATTAGCCCTGACCTTTGGAAGCCAGCGACGGGGGCCACAGCCCCAGGGTTTCTGACGCTGCGGGGGTTGGATGATCGGTCGGTGTTGCTGGGGGACCACGGGGCGCCGCGTCTCCCAACCAGATGGAAGTTGGCAGAAGACCTCATCCCGTGTAACGTTTATGCTCTTCCACGAGTTTATGCACGTCTATCTGTTCGACGACGTCATCAGGAATGAGTGCGGGTCCAGTCTCCACCGCCGCTTGGGGCCACTGTATGCGCCCCAAGCGAAGTGAGGCGGTAGGCCGGGCGTGGGGAAGGTTAGGAGGGTGCGCGTTTCTGGATGGGGTTGGGGTTGTGGCTCTGTCTCTGGGGAGAGGGACACGGTGATGGATAGGGGTAGGGGTATGGAGGGGTATGGGGTGTGGGATGGTGGTGAGGCTCCTGTTTGCGCCGAGTCGCTCGCCATGCTGGGCCTATGAGCTGCCATCGCCGATATTAAACCCGCCAACAAGCTGTCGGGTTGGTTCTCTCTAGCTAAGGGGTGGCGTGAAGCGCCAGGGGCGCTATATGATGGCGATGGGAGGGCTACTGCGGAAGACGAAACGACGTGTTTAGCGAATGAAGAGGGAGTTTTATCAGCTATTCGAGGTGAGGTAATGTTGCGGGCGCCGGCATTCCGGGCCCACCTTTCCAGACCGCCCGGCCCCGCCCTGCGTGGGCTTAACCCACGCATTGGCATCGCTTCCTGTTGTTAGTTTCACATTGGTATCGTCTTCCTGTGTGCTCACACAGGTAATGTTTTACAAGTACCTCACAAGCTAGTTATTGTAATTATATTTTAAACTTAGTTAACTAACTAATTAATAAATTAATATACTGGGCAAAGTTTGATACTTGTTTAACAAAAGGAGCTTGTGACGAACCTACTCCAGGACCCCGTCCTGTTAGGGTTCAGCTTCGGTCGAAGGTAATCTTGCAAGGGTGCTTAGGTTCGGTGCAGCCAAAGGGTGCACAACAAAGACTTGTCTCAACAGTAGGCTTTCGAGCTTGTAGCGAACTGCAGTTGTGATTGCTAACTGGAGAACTCCCAGAGCTCTCCAGAACGAGTGACTATATACCTAGCTAATTCCAGGGTGCTCAGTGTGCTCAGTCTGCCCTTGGCAACTGAGTTCACTGATCACTGTCGAGCTATTGTTATCCTGATTGGTGGTCTTTACCTGGTGCTCAGTGTGCTCAGTCTCGGCTTGGTGACTGAGCTCACTGATCACCTCGATCACCTTCCTGGCTCCCTGATTGGTTTTTATAATGACTGCCTGGGGCGTCCCGCGACCCGAGGTCCCTCCTGTTGGCATATTCGTGACACTGGAAATGGAAGACTTATGGTACCCTTGTGGGCTCTCTCGAGACCATGACAGTAAAGATCCGCAAGTCGATCTCTTCCTCGAATATTCCCTTTGTGCCTGAATCACCGATGCTACAATCGTGGACGTTGGGTGTCTGACAACCTGATTTTGTAGCGTCATATGTTATGTTGGCCATCAACCGTACGTCGACCAGTATGGGGAGACCGGCTTCTTTTAGGCCCATGCCATCTGCTCAGCTCCCTCAACTTTCTTCGCATCTTCTTTGCCGTTTCAGGAACCCGGAGAACCGAACATCTTGAGGTTTCCATTTTGTCTTCGGCATTTGTCAATTCTCTCTCAAATGATCTGTCGATTTCGGCCTTCTTGTTCGAGTCGACAGACTTTGCAAACATAATCTACTTTAATTAGTAGCCATTCCTTGGATCAAACTGCCTCGCGACATTGTCAGAGGCTGGAAAACGGTGGGCCTTTTTTGGAGTATTTAGGGCGTGAAATAATAGGCGGATCAATTGCTTTCTCAAGGAAATGAGGATTCTCAAAACACATCCATTTGTTTGAACCCTTTCGTGGACGAACTGCGTTGATGGCTGTGTCGGGTGGTTGTTGGTTGTTGTGTGTGCACAGGAGAGAGGCTTCGGCGAGACTCTGTCTGTCAGACATGTGCTGTTGTGGAGCCTCAGGGGCCTGGCTGACCTGCCGCGCCTAAAACGGCAGGTCTTGGCAGCCGCAAAACTTCAAGGCCCTTGGTCAAGACAAAACGTGTCTCTTCGGAGCTTGCGTGAACTTTCGCAATCACACAACATCGTTTGTGTCGACAAACCGTGACAGGCTTCTCGCGCGTGCGATAATGCCATTATGAAGCTCTCGGCAATCTCTCTTGGCCTTTTGGCCCTCCTGACGCCGCTGACAGCAGCCTGGACGAAAGAGGGTAAGTCTCGGAGGTTGTTATCTTCGATTTAAACCCCCTTTTCGAATCATCACCAAGTCTGTTTCGTACTAACGAACCATTTCCTTGGGCAGACCACGAGATCTTCCGCGTCCGCGACGAACTGATTGCCCACGAGGGACCCGATGTCACCTTCTACGAGTTCCTAGGCATCAGCCGGTCGGCGAACCATGAAGACATCAACAAGGCGTACAAGAAGAAGGCCCGGCTGCTCCATCCGGACAAGGTCAGGCAGCAGCTGATGGCCGAGCGCACCAAAGCCCAGAAAGAGCAGAACAAGAAGAACAAGGGCAAGCCGGCGGGCGCCGTGAAGAAGCCCACGTCGGCCGAGCTCAAGACGGCCGTTAAGCGCGCCTCAGAGCGCCAGGCCCGCCTGTCCATCGTCGCCGACGTCCTGCGCGGACCGGGCCGTGACCGCTACGACCACTTCCTCTCTAACGGCTTCCCCACGTGGAAGGGCACCGAGTACTACTACGACCGCTACCGCCCGGGCCTGGGCACCGCCATGTTCGGCGTTTTCCTGTTCGCCGGCGGCGCCGCCCACTACCTGGCCCTCTACATGAGCTGGAAGCGCCAGCGCGAGTTCGTCGAGCGGTACATCAAGTTCGCGCGCCACGCCGCGTGGGGCGACAACCTCGGCATCAACGTCCCCGGCATCGACGCCCAGCCCGCGGCCGCTCCTGCCGCGCCTCCGCCGCAGCAGCAGATGTACGAGGACGAACAGGGACGCGCCATGCCCATGAACCGCAAAATGCGCCGCATGCAGGAACGCGACGCCAAGAAAGATGACAAGAGTGCCGGGCGCAAGACACGCCGCGGCCGCCCGTCGCCTGCCGCGTCAGGATCGGCCACGCCCCTGCCGGAGCCCCAGGGCAGCGGACCCACCGGCTCAAAGAAGCGCGTTGTTGCCGAGAACGGCAAGATCCTCGTTGTTGACTCGCTCGGTGACGTCTACCTGGAGCAGGAGGATGAGGACGGCAAGGTGGCCGAGTTCCTACTTGATGTACGTTATGACTCCGGACCCATACACATTTGTGGAACTCGAAGCTAACATCATAACTACCTAGCCCAACGAGCTTGCCCGCCCCACCTTCAAGGACACCGCCGTCGTGCGGCTCCCTTTCTGGGCCTTCCAGCTGACACTGGGACGGTTCATCTCGAAGCGCGCCGACGAGAAAGAATACGACGACGAGCTTGAGGCTGAAGAGCTGGACCACGACGACGAGGACTCTGAGCCCGGAAAAGCCACCCCTAGCAGCGGCTCCGGCGAGGACTATGAGCTGATCGAGAAGTCGGTGGACGAGCTTGGCCAGGCCAAGACCAGCGGCACCCAGAAGCAGGGAGGCAAAGCCAGCAAGCGAAAGACCAAAAAGAGGTGATGCCCAACAATTGTGTGCCAGGAAGAGGGTTGGGTCTTGGATTATGGGTGCGTGACTGGCTTGCCAGGTGTTTGTACATATGATATGATGGAAGCGAACAAAAGGATCACATAGACGAAAAACTGTGGGGTTGGCATATTGACCCAATATTGTATCCATTGTCCTCGAAGATAAAATAAAGATCATCGCCAAACGAGTATCAATCAGGTATGCCCGCCAAACATCGTGCCTATAATCCCCATCCCGACCAAATCCGAAATCCCAACGCCTCGCTGCCTATCTCAGAACCATCCCAGCCACGATGCTCTTAAACCCCAACGGCATGGCTCAACACCTTCGCCGCCAACTGGCTTAGCAACTTGGCGCGGTCCGTCTGCGGCAGCTCCTGTCGCACTCATCAGCACAACCACACATCTTCTCACCCCTAAACCCCCCAAACCGGAGGAAGACGCAACACGACTCACCTGAAACACGGCATACACGCTCTTCCCCTTCGCATCTCTCACCGCGCCCAGCCGATTCCCCGCCACCGCGCCGGGCCACGAGCCCCGGCACATTAGCCACAATGAAGCCCAGCGCACCACCACTCAGGCCGCCCATCAAGCTCCAAAACTTGCCCGCGGGGCCCCCCGCCGCGCCCTCCTGGCCCGCCGCCATGCCCTCCTCCCGCAGCATCTCCTCAAACACGTCGGCGAACTGCTCGTCCTCGGTCCGCGCCCGCGCCTCCTCCTGCCCCTGCCGCCCCGGCTGCCCCGGCTGTCCCTGCCCTTGCCCGCCCGTAAAGAAATTCCACGCCCACGAAAACGGGATCCCGCCCTCCCCAAACGCATCCTCCTCCCCAAAATCAAAACCCCCCGGCATCTGCTGCCCCCCAGCACCACCAGTACCAGCACCAGCGGTACCAGCCCTCCCCGCCCTCCTCCCCCCATCAGCAGAACCAGAAGAACTGGCAAACAGCTTCCGCTGGGCGTCGTACTCGCGGCGGCGGCCGGCGTCGTTGAGCGTGTAGTAGGCGTCGTTGACCAGCTGGAACTGGCGGGTGCGGGCGGCGCGGTCGGGGTGCTCGGCGGGTAGGCGGTCGGGGTGGGTTTTTAGGGCGGCGCTGGGGGGAGGGGGGTGTAAGTAGGGTATTATTTGTTTATTTGGTGGGCGGTGATTGTGGTGGTTTGGTTTGGTTTGGTTTGGGGGGAGGTGGAGTGGGTATGAATGAAGACAGCAGGGAGAGAGATGTTGAACTACCTACCGTTTGTAGGCATCGCGGATTTGGGAGGTGGAGGCGCTTTCGGAGATTCCGAGGATCGAGTCTTCTCCTTTGGTTAGGGGCGTGGGAAAGCAAATACGGTCTCTCGGAGTGGTGGGCTGAGCTTACAGTAATTGGGCGGACGGCCAGCTTTGGAAGCCATCTTGATCGTTGTAGATGGTGGGGTTTCGTATTTGGTCTTGATCAGATACAGATCGCTAGGAGAGCGGTAGACACTCGGTAGTCCTCAAAAGAATATGGAAATTCAAACTATTGCGATATCCAGGTGGCATTGCCCGGCTCTTTCTGCCGCTCATCAGGCTGTGGTGGCATGTGGATGGAGGGACAGGTCGACGTCATTTGTGGCGTTGAAATGTGGCTTGTTTCTCCTTTCCTCCCACATTCCAAACCCAGCAGCTGTCTCAGACCCACTCCCTGCAAGCCAGGGTGGCCCAGAATTGCCCGCTGGCCCTTCGGTGTCTCGGTCGATCTGCGCTGGCCGTGGAGTCGTTCCCTGCAACCTGCAACCGTGCAACCTGCAACCTGCAATTCAATTCAGGGGTCTTGTGCCTTTGAATATGCACCTTTTCCCTTCCGAGGCGAAATGATATCCTCGATGGCTTGCTGGCTGGATCCGATGGTTTTGTCGAGGCACTCAGCACTCATCGTGTCATCGCTTCATTGGGGTGACTCGATGGGCTTGCCGCTTTGGGCCTGTTTCAGGGCGCCTGCCCTCCGACCGACCGCACCTATGGCGGCGGTGGCCTAGTGGCAGTCGCTCGGCTGATATGTGTCACTGCCCAATGCCCAATCGTCACACTACCCCCCGTCAACCCCAGATGGAAGCGGAAGGCACGCTGCCCATGTGGGCTTTGGAGCCTGACAAGTGTGCGATCGCCTGAATTAGGGATTCGCGCTGAGGCGCCGTTATGCCCATCCGTCCATCCATCCATCCATCCCATCCGTATTGGGGGTTGGTGCCTGCGTGTTGTGTTAACTTGGCGTGGATGGATGGAAGTTCCCCCTCCATTCAACAAAATTAGCCTGGCCCGGCCTGCCCCTCCTCATTTCCAACCACGCTCACACGCTCACCATGGCCGCCTCTTAAATATCGAACCTCCATCGTTTGGATTCTTCTTTGGATCTCTAAACTACTTCGGGCACACCTTCGCCTTGTCGTCGCACACTCTCGAACTTACCGCTCTCCCCCGTCTCGCCTCCCCTCTTTGCTTCCAATTTTCCACCTTTGAGGGCTTAATTTGGCTTCCTTTGCCCCGCCATTGTCCACCCACCGCAGCTCGCCCCCCACCATCCCTCGAGCTCCCACTTCGATTTACCGTCCTTTTTTCTTCGTGACTTCCCGCTCTCGTCTTTGTCACTAAGCCCTCTGCGAAGTGACGGTGTTCCGCAGTACATAGCATAGACAATAAAACGAAGTTGCTTGCAGCCCGCTGCACACCCGACAGAAGTCAGAGCACATCGGTCCATCTGCTTTCCTGACCCCAACTACGCTTGCGTTCATTTTCGACTGTACAAGTACGGCAGAAGCAACTGAGTTATATTGTGCTATCTGAGAGTCGATTCGGATACCAGGTGTCAGCCAGTAAGTGCCGTTCCACGGGGTCTGACAAAGGTACTTTGCCGGGAAGCAATAAGCTAATGGAACGCTGCAGAACCGATATTACCCACAAGATGGCAGCCGTATACACGCAGGTGCAGTCGCAGGATGAGCTGGTAGCACTCTTTTCTCGCAACCTCACATTAGACCACTTGTCTCAACCAACACCCACACCAGTACCCGCCCCTGTCCCCGTGGAAGAGCCCCAGGAAGAGCGCAAGATCGTCTACATCTCACAACATTACAACCACTCGGCCCACCTCGTAAAGAAGGATGAACAGCCACCACGCCCCGCCTCTGAACCGCCCCAGAGCGAGCATGCCATCGTAGAGCAAGTCCTCAGGGAGCACAGCGTAAACACCTCCGGCCTCTCATCCGCCCAGCTCCAGCTCTTCAGGACCGCCGACACCCCACAACAACTCCGCTTGATTGAGCTCTGGCGTGCCTGCCCTCCCACCAACAGCACCGACAACCCGACCTTGACATGGAGCATGACGAGCGTCGAGCAAGAAGAAACCCTCGCCCGGCTGCGCTTCGAGCAGCAACAACAAGAGCTGATCGACCAGCAGCTACAGCAAGAGTTCGGCATGATGCAAGACGACCCCGAGCCCGAGCCCGAGACGGTCATGTCGCTCGACGGCACGCCGCTGACGCCCATCCAGGCCGGCGACGGCCGCTGGATTGCCACGTCGGATCGGGCGTCCTACCACTACATGGAGCCGTACATGGCGTCGGGATACGAGGAGATGGCCCGCCGTGAGTATGAAGAGTCCATGAGCAGGGCATATGCTGAGTCTATGGCCCCGCCACCAAAGGAGACCAATTCGCTCGCGGCTGCTGCCCTCGCCAGCGCTGGGGGTACCCCGACTTTTAACCCCTCGCACGCCGACCCCGTGTATAAGACGACCAACGTGGGCAACAGCGTGAACTGGGGGAACGAGGCCGCCATGGCGGACCAGTATGGGCGGCTCATGGCCATGAGGGACGACGAGGAGATGCTCTGAGGGATGGTGGGTGGAATAAGGGGCGACCCTTGGTTTCTGTTCGAAACGGAAATAGCGGGATGGCGGGAGCATATTGCCCGCAGTATGCGGTACAAGTGGTGGGATAGATACCACAACTTTTCTTTGTCTAATCACCGACATGCTATAGAGATTGGCGTACGGAATACCATAGTGTTCGAACCATTCCTTTTCCCGTCTCTTGTCGGCGTGAGGCATGCCACACTCAGCACAGCCGACGCCCCCGGAAGCACCTTCGCTGCGAAGTAAACGGCAATGTCCACGGAACGATACTCTTCCCAAATACCTTACCCGGTCTCTAGGCTATATCGCAACCCTTATATTACTCTCACCATTAAACCCTAAGCTTCAATGAACCTAGGCTTCGTCATAACACAAGCCTTTTACCTCCTGCTAGTCCATCGACATCGGGTCTCAAGACAGCCAGCTAACATCCCATACTACGTTCAAGACGTACACATGGCTATCTGGAAAGCCAGCGCTCCTAAATAAGGACACTCCAAGAGCTACCAACAGTGATACATGAGCCGACCTAAGTCAAGTTTATATCCAGCATGAAATGAGTTCCCGTTCACTAGCCGGGAATACCCGATACAAGATTAACCGCATCTGTTATCTTTTGCGAACTCTTTCGTAATTATTCTCTACTAGTTTGGTGTACTTGTCGCCTTGGGGGTTCCCAGGATAACTGGATAGCACCATATGATCACACCCCCCCGCCTGGGAAGATCGTAGATTTTGAATTCCGAGTTAATAAGGACTTCATATAGTTACCTCATCCATAATAACACGATCGATACTGTCGCTTGCAACTTCTCGGGCGATCATGGTTCGCCATACCGGTGTTGTTGTTGCCTCCGGTGTTGCCAGGATGACCGAGGGCATGACATCGTCGTCCGATTCCGTCCCAAAGATGGTCCCTTTGATCCCATCCCGTTCAAGCCGTACAAGGGTTTCCCTCTAAGGCGATTTTGTCGGTTAAATTACGACGGTTTTTTGGAGGGTATAGCAAATGCTGGGAGGGCAAATACTACCTATTGCCGCTCCCTACCCCTACCATATAGACCAGCTTGGCCACGCCGGATGCCATCTTATCTCGAATTTCTCGTTCGTGGTCCTGGAGTGAGGCTTGATTGTCGCGGCATATACGCTAAAACTCGGTGTCGCCGAGGGCTTCCTGAGCCTCCCTCCTCCTCTTTCGTCCCTCTCCGTCGTCCTCTCGCTGCCGTTTTTCCCTCCGCTGGGGCAGCTTCCATAACTAGTGCCATCCGACACCGAGGGAGTAGAATTCTAAGAAGTGTGTGCCATCATCGACTTCCCGCGCGTAGTGAAGGTCGATGGTCTCATCTTCGCGGCTTCGTTGGCTTCCGGGGCCCGCCCATCCCCACCCGACATCCTTTCCAGCGACCCCCTGGCTGCTCGCTGACCACCGTTGACCCGAGTGGTGTCCCTCTCTTTCAAGTTTAGCGACGAGGGCGCACTCCACGCCAAGGCGTCCCGGCCAAATACAAGCCCTCGTACTCGTTGTTTTGCCTGACATCGTTCTCGTCGAGCGGCGGTGGCTTCGAGGCATAAGGCTGGCAATCACGGCCAGGAGTAGAAGGCCACAGCCAGGGGCTGGAACCAGGTGTTGTCAAAGCTAACGGGTATTGTCGGTTGACTGCGCGGGGTGGGAAGGAGGGTATGGAGGCGGTTTGATGGGTTTGTGAGGCCCATCCACTTTAAAGTAGCAGTGATCAAAAATAACAAAATGCGAGCCGAAAAAGACAGGAGTCTGCGGGTTGGTTTGAGCCGAGGGGAATCCTAAGGCAGCAGGTAGTTCGAGCAGTACCCCTTCGCCATCCCTGACTTTGGGATCCCAGTCACCTCGAGACCAACGAGGACGAGCTCACGTACTAATATTCCTGACACTTGTGAACCAACAACAGCTGGACTTGGACACTGTTCAGTGAAGTAATGCGGGAACGTGGAGAGGAAGAAGAATCGCAGTCCAAGTGGACTACCAGACGTAGACTTGCCTACAAGTACATGTAGCTGGCCGCGTTCCCCTCCATTGCAAAATATGTTAAAGTTCAGGGTGTCTTCAAGACATGGAGTCATTCAGCCGCGCAAATATCACCAGATAATCCATCTGCGGACTCCAATGGAAAACCCAAGGCTGTATAGCGATTCTGTAGCCGATCACAGACCGCAATAAGAACCCTTCCTTACCACCCAAGAACTTCACATACAACCCGACGTCCCAGACGTTACAACATCCCTTATTTAGTTCCCTAGTCCCCCCCCCCCCCACCCAGTCGCCACGAGCTCGCTCGCGTCTCTATGAGTAATGGGAGCCCACCAACCCACCTAATGCGGACCA